AGGCATCACCTCTGACTGCATTTTGACAGTGTACTTCTGGACATTTATTTTTCCTCTAGCATCTGGTTTTCCCCTAGCTCAGGCCCTAGCTAAGCACAGCAGCCCCTGCCAGACCCAAACCTGCAAGTGTACCCACCACCTCTCAAAGGTGAACGCTAGATCTCAGTTAACACTGGCCACTAATACCTAGGTCTTAATCCTGGCTTTATCCTGTCCCAAAGCTTATTCCACAAACCCTTTACAGTGCAAATCATATGCTTGTGATCATAAGCTTCAATGGGTTATTTAGAATCATGCATATTATCAGATCCAATATTTTGAGTCTTTTCAGTCATAAAAGCTTTTTTGCATGCGATCAAAATTAGGTTTTCTTCAAAGCCCTGCTTTAATGAAATAAACATGTAGCAAGCTTATGCTCAGTATTCCAACTAAAATATTATTTCCAATGCTATATTTAAGGTAGGAATGGGCATAATAAAAGTAGCTAGAAATTGGAAAAACTGAGACTTGAAAGCAGAATGCTAGTCCTTAGCCTAAAAGGGCCCCTGAAACATACGCTCACGCTCTGTTAAATCTCTCAGTGTAGAACAACTGTTACACAGACCATCCATAACTGATGTTTATTTCAACAGAACTGTTCTATGATGCTCATGATGTCCTCAAGACATTTTTTTCCCCCAAGATAAATTACTTGTACCACGTGTAAAAGTTAATTTCTCCTCCTGAAATCAAATTGCAAAGGTAGAGATATCAGGGTCTATGTATACCATGAATGAAATCCATTTTCTTATTTTCTTCTCTGCCATTATGTGGTTATAGATAACATTTCTATTTATGACATCCAACAAATGTTTATTGCATCTTGTGTTTTGATCTATGTACTGTCATAAGTTTCACTGTGTGAAGAGTTCTGATTTCATGATTATGTAGCTAAAAACCTCTTGATACAGCAGAAGGGATATCTAATATTGAATAGTAGCACAAATGAGATAATTAGATCATTTGGGTATTGGATAATGTCTGTAGGTATCAAAATATTTATTACGTGAGGTAATCATGATGACAGTTTTTTGTCAGTAGATTAGACTTATGAAAATTAATTTAAAATTTATCTTCTCATTTCAGTGACAGTTGAAGTAATTTTGTGACTTTATAAAGGAATTTATTTGACATTTGTGCTGCAAAAGTTGACGTTGGTGTGTGAGAGAAAGTACATAGGGTTTGATCTCAGCCAGCAAGGCAGTTTAACGGAATGGAAGTCTTCAGCGTCCATAGTTCTGATTCAGGCACCCATAAATCTCCCCAAGGGATGTGTATCCTCAGCATCTGGATCCTTCAGTCCCCTATCTGTGCCCTAATGTAGCCTCTGAGGGAGTCTCTACCCCAGCTCCTTTTTAAGGAATCTTCTGGCTCATTTCCTATTTGCAGATCCATTAGCTCTGTGCTCAAAAGGAGCCGGTCTTTCTGCCCACCTCGTTAGTGCACTGACCAGTTGAGAGTGCACCGCGAGGGGAGGCTCTGGTGGTCTCCCCATGGGCTGCCTGTGCTGGGCGGGCAGCTGAGCAATAAACAAAATAGAAGATATTCCTCACAGTGAGGGGGGAATGCATGCCTGCCCTCGAGGAAGATTGAGAGAAGTGGGCCAGGCTCTTAAAATAGCAAGAGACATTACAGCTGCTCTTGTGGCAGCAGGAGTCCGCTCTTTCACAAATTTGTCTGTACAGCTTAATTTCACAAGGTTGAGAAACTGATATTCTAGGCAAAGGTGGTTTGGGGTGTTACTACAAGCACTGGGAAAAACTCTCTGCTTCATACCTTGTCCATAAAAGCACATGAAGAGCGCATTTCAAAGAACGTGTTAGTTCTTAGGGGCAGGCTGATTTGCTCTGACTGAAGCTGGGATGAAATAATGTGGTGGGTTGACCCCAGTCAACAGCCAAACACCAACCTGGCTGCTCACGCCCTCCCCTCTCCTGCTGGATCTGGAGAAAATAGAAGTAAGGTGGGGAGACTCATGGATTGAGATAAAGACAGTTTACCAGGCAAAGCCAAAGCTTAGGTGTGCAAGCAAGGCAGAGGAGGCGTTAATTCGCTGCTTCCCATCAGCAGGCAGGTGTTTAGCTGCTTCCCGGAAAGCAGGGCTTTGGCACGCATGGCCAGTGGTTATTTGGGAAGACAAACACCACAAACACAGACGTTCCCCCCTTCCTCCTCCTTTTCCTGAGCTTGTGTTGCTGAGCGCAAGGTCACAGGGCGTGGGATATCCCTCTGGCCAGCTCGGGTCCGCTCTCCTGGTCGTGTCCCTCCAAACCGACCCGCTGCGGGAGCAGAGTGGGAAGGAGAATTGGGTCCTTAAATTCCTCTTATTTCTCTGTGGTATTTCCCCTTGTGTAGCAATTTTTGTATGGCTACTGCTTTGTTGCTGTCCTCAGGGCTCTTTGTTTTTGGCGTGTCAGTGACCGAATTCAGTGTCATTTTGCTTTTTTGCCAGATAATACTTGACTATCGCAAAGCTATAATTTCCAGTTTAGAAAGAAGATGGCATTGTCTGCAGCCTCATGTCACAGGGAAGCCTGATGTGACGTATTGCAGTGCACATGTCAAGGTTTGTGTCTATTCTAGGAGAGATCTAAATTTAAAAGATTTACCCGCTTTCTGTCTGTCCGGCTTCTCAGCTGACTGTAATTCTGGTGGGTGGCTTTTAAGCCACAAATCTCTTTTGATCCTCTTTGCAATATTCTGATGCCTCATGTTCGGTTAATCTCCTCGCTGAGCTGCTGCCTGGTGTTTCCAGGGCTGCGGCTGGCGTGCCCTCCCTTCCTTCGTATTTTACCGCTGTTAGATATTGATAAAAAAAATAAAGGAAAGAGGACTTGCATATAAATTAGGATTATTTCTCTGGCTGGTATATCACCTTATGAGCAAAAATGTAAATAATATTTGGTGTTTACTGTTTTCCTGGTGGATGTTTTCCAGGACTGCGGACAGGGTGAGGGTGGTCCCCTCTCCCAAGGAGGGAAGCGCCGGATTGCACAGGCTGTATGCAAACCGCAGCTGAGCTGCTGCCGGGCAGCGGGACGGCTGAAGCCGTGTGTCCATCCTGCCTCCCGGGGACAGCTGATGTTCGGGCTCACTGCTGACCCTTCTGCCTAACACCACCTCCGGTTTCACACAGAGCAGCAAAAGGTACAGCTGCCTCTGCCCCCAGAGCTCCCGGGGAGCGCTCATTGCTGCCGTTTTGGTTTTCCTTCATGGTGAACGTGCAGCGCTGCTTTGGGGATTTAGTGCTCGGCTTCTGTATACATCATTGAAGGAGCCATCATTTAGAAACATTTCTTAGAAAAAAAAAAAAAAATACCCTTGTCATTGCTATGGCACCGAGGTGAGCGGTAGACTTGAGGCCAGTGCTTGCAATGCCCTGGGGAACAGTTTGCTGCTGTTAGTGCAGAGCCCAGGTCGGGGCTCACCGCCAGCTGAAACTCGTTAGCTGAAATGCTCAACCTCTTCCCGATGGAAGAAGTTTCACTATTCTGGAAAACTGTCGTCTCGAATGAGAATTAATACGCAGAACTGGTTTTAAAGATTTTTTGGCTGCTGTTGAATTCCTCAGGTGTCTTTGCTCTGCCTTTACTCGAAGTGCACTGCCCTTGGGGAACGGGGGTAATTTAGTGTGTCCCAGGGAGCCAGCACCGCTCCCCCTTGGAGGGCACCAAACCTGAAAAGCCTGAAGAGCATTAGGAATGCATTAGGGTTTTACAATACAATAATCTCCGAGCTTCAGAGCAACCCGGGAGAATCCAGTATGGTGAAATAACTTCCTATCAGTCACCATATACTTACAGAAGTCTTGAATTTTTAGTAATTTGTTTTTTTAGCTTGAAACCAATTTTTGTTTGAGTTACACTTCTGTGGTGCGTATAAAATGAGGCTTTACATTACAAAAATGTGTCAATTTTTGAAAGGAAGGAAGGAAAGACACGCTTTTATCTGGTGTGACTAATAATCCAGATGTTGGTTAATCTCATTCTTTCTCTTGCAGAATTAATGTTCTGTATGATGTTCTCCTTCAGGCCTAAAGTCTTTTTCCTCCATATCCTTAGGCCAGACTCTGCTCCTACTTTTACCCCGCTAGATACAGGTTATGATGAAAGTGTCTTTTTAAATTGTAGCAGTGCTACAAAAGCTGGAACCTACGTTAGATAGCTATGTTTTTCTGTGTTTAGTATTTACTCTGTCTTATTAATGTTTCTTGACAGATCTGCTAAACAAAGGTGTAAGATGGGAGATGTCCATTCTCCATCATTTTTGTACAAGAGATTTACTAGAAACAGGTGTCAGGTTTCTGACTAAAAAGCAGAAATAAGGAAAGCATTTTCAGGCCCTACCTTGCAGAAAACAGAGGACAAAAGCTTCCATGGGCTTTCTCAGACTTAATGTTTTCTTGTAAACTCTTCTTCTCTGTTCTGCAAAAAAGACCCAACACATTTTCTTAATGGGGTCCTTTGAACAGTATTTCAGTGAGATGCAATATGATGTAAATTCTTCAAAATATTACAGGTTTCATCAAACAACCAAGACCCATTTGGGGAATTAACTTTGTTTTAAAGGTTCCTAAGATTGCCCTAAACTAACTTCCACTACAAACTTTCTAGATTAACAGCTAGCGTGTGTTGAAACAAAAATACCTAACAACTTATACATTCAATTAGCTAAAAATTTGGGCTGTATAGAAACATGTAATTTATTTTATAACCTCTCTCCTCGTTTCTTCTTTTTTATTACTGGCAAGTATAGGTGTTCTATGGGAGAAAAGAATTAATACCTACACATTACATTTCATTTTATTTGGGCAGAGTGCCTTTATAGTGTAACATACTGTTGTAATTAACTTTATAGCACATTTGTACGTATCTAAACAAATTCTAAGTAAATAATGTTGGTTCTTCATGGAAAAAGTTGTAAATATGGTAGCTTAAATAGTTCCAAATGTCTTCACACAGGTGTTGGTGACTGGATGCAATTAATTACTGCAACTCGGCCTCTATTGACTGAAGTGCTGCAGCATACGCAGAAGTGTAAGTACATGAGTAAAACTGAGCATGTGTTTCAAGTTCTGCTGCTAAATGGGGTATTTCACCTATTTTTTTGAAAAAAAAAAAAAAAACAAAACAGGCCTTTCCCCAAATGTCTCGTTGTGATCGTGATGAAGACTGACGATAACAGTCAGCTGTTCTCCCATAATGCTGGGGTTTCGTTAATGCGTGCAGAGTTCAGTGAATATACTGATGGTTCATGTTGGTTTTCTCCTTTGAGCTATAGCAGTATTTGTATCCTCCGAGTGCTTGTATCACTTGGAGGACAGCCAAGCAGTTGTCCCCCGCCGGGGTGAACACGTGCACGCAGAGCAGGGCATGCCAAGCATCTAGAGGGTTCAGACTATATTATAGGAAGCTCTGGAAAACTCTAATAAGTAAATAACTAATAAAGATAGCTAATAAAATAAGTATCACATCTTACTGCAACAAAAAGGTCAAATTTGGTTCAAAAGAGTTTCTTCTGGAGGGAGAGCGCCTTCCTTACCCCTTTAGGAAAGTGCTTTTAGCCACTCGAATTGGGGAGAGGGGTGCAGGAGGCAGCGTGATCTGAGAAACTGAGTCCCAGGAACGGCTTCGGTGCCTGTGTCCTCCCAGACCAGTCCGTGCTCAGCACGGGGCTCCTGCGCCCTGGCAGGGGGCAGGGGGCCCTGGGGACCCCGCAGCCCCGCTCTCTGGACGACCGCCACGCCTCTGAGGCCTCCGCGCCTGGGGCTGGGGTACCTCAGGTTTAGGCAATGTGGTTTTCTACATCGTAGCACCCGTGTCTGGTCCCAGCCTTCCACACCAAAACGCTTCACGAGCTAAATATTTCATCGGCTGCTTGGTCTGTGCCTGGTGATAGTCGTTTCAAGTGGATGCTCCGCATTTAAAAAGACTGACTGCTTTGCTCGAGCCAAACATAATAAGCTGTCTTGCATACTCCACAGCTAATAAAATATTAAACACATTTTGGCACCCAGAACTAAATACCGGCTCGAAATTCTCCTCACACCTATCTCCCTCGCCTTAACTCCCTATCCCCTCCAGCTTTACACTGAAGTGCTGCTGCTCGGGCTTAAACGGTTTGTGGTTGGGTTGTGACACGGGGAGGCGAGCGGTGCGCCAGTGCCGCACGGTCGTGATCTGTCGGGATGTAACGGAGTGATCAAAGCGGGCGCTAGGGATGTGCTTGCAGCCCGTGCCACTCAGAGGAAGGCAGCCTGGGAAGCGTCTGCCCCGCGCCTCCAAGTTGCGCGGTGGGCACCACGCTCGCTTAAAAGCTGAAGTTAAAAGTGGAGCCTTGCGTTGGAAACCAGGCTAGAATAAAAAAAGAGCACAGTAGCCATAAAACAAAGATATTGCTAATTTAGTTATGAAATTCTTATTTAAGAACTGTTGGTTTACAGTTTAAAAATCACTGTTGTCACAGTGCCACTGTGTTAATGCAAGGTAACCATGCCTTTCCAGTACCCCATCTCGTTTCAGTTCTCAAGGCTACGATTTTATTTGATTTGCTCCTCCCAAGGGCAAACTAAACCAGTCTGACTGAAATCTAGCCAGGTCAGTGGGCCCCAAGTCAAAGCTGCTTGAAATCCAAGGGTGCAGTGCCGCCGGCTTTAACGGGCTTTGGGTCGAGCTCCTAAAACCTGCTCCTGCAACCGCTTGCGGACACCTGCTTAGCTCCCAAGGGGCTTACCCCTGGCTGGGGACCTCCTCGCTTAAAAATCGCAAGTGTGAGGAACCAGAGCCGATGCTGGTACCCAAGGTCGCCTGCCCTGGGAGCTGCCGCCGCGGGGGGGCTGGCGGGGAGGGTCAGGCTTTGCCCCTGTTTGCCCCCCAGCCCTGAAACTCTCCCTTCGGCGGTCGCTAAGGGCAGGCGCGGTTCCCGCTAGAGCTGGATGAAACGATGCAGCAGGTGCAGCGCCTACAAACCCCGCACGCAACACTTGCCAGCTGAATGCTTTCTCTGGGCCCCAAAGGCAGTAATTAGTGAAATACCCTTTTTTTTTTTTTTTTTTAAAAAAAAAAAAAAAATGACTGCTGGACTGTTTGCAAGTAACGAGTGTGATATTGCGTGCTGTTGTCAAGTGGTGACAAGCAGTGATCCTTTCACATCACTAACTGCTGGATTTTGTCTGTGGAGGCAAACAGGGGCGGCTGCCCGCTCTCTGCCCCCTGGCTCTCTGGGCTAGCGAGGAGGGCTTGGGCTTTGCCAGCCACAGAGTGGGCAGTGGCGACCGGAGGGATGCGGTGTGTATTTGTCTGTGCCTCTGTAGCCCCTGGCTCTCCCCGCCCCGCGCAGCCCCTCTGGGGCTTGCTAACAGCATTGCAATGGGCCAGCTGTGACCCAGCAGCTCCGTTTATAATACCATTTTTCTTGACTGATATTACTAATGGCTGTAATAAGGTTGCAATAAATTCCTCGGCTGGCCAATGCCTAACTGGAAATCTGTTAGAAACCTAGCTGATAATAAAACCGTTGCCTAAATGCACAGGAAGAGTTAGCCCCAGGACAGCACAGGCACTGAAAGTGAGTTTTTAGCCCGTTGCTGGCGGAGAAACCAGGGCCGGGTGGCGTGAGCCCCGTGCCCCCAGGCCCCGAGCCTGTCACCGCCGGGACCAGACCACCGCAAGCCCCGGCCAGGCGTGGGCACCGTGGCAGCCCCCCGGCCGCAGCCGAGGGGCACGCTGGCGCGCTGTGCGGCAGCTTTGGTGCCAGGACTCCCTAAAAGCGGGAGCGCTTTACCCGAGCTGTCTGTTCACTGCCTCTCGTGAGGAGTAATTTTCCTTTTTAGCATCGCTTTTGTTTTAGAAAGATTTAAAGATGGTATCTCAGTTTTCTCAGCTCCTTCATTTAGGAAACTTTCTTTTGGGGTGGGGGCATTTGATATAATTAATGTTCTCCTGTAGTTACAGATGATTTGATGCTGCCTGACAGGATAAAACAGGAGAAGCACCACCCCAGGCCTCGCCCCGTGGCCTTTCCCACAGGTTCCTTCCCTTTGCTGCTCCCCAGTACCCCCGTGGCTCCCCGCTCTGCAGCACGCTGCTGTTTTATTTGATAACGCAGCCGAGCGGAACGCGCGACTCCGGCTTCAGGAAGCCGAGTCGACCGTGCGGTTTCGATAACCGAGAAGCTTTTACGTGGTAACTCCGTCCTTAAAAATGCTTCCCCTCCTTTAAAAGAAGGAGAAGCCAATGAGAAGCAGCTTTCCTGGGCGGGTGATTTTTTATGTTTATTTTTTTCTTTTTCCCTTTTTTTTTTTTTTTTTTTTTTCCTGGTAATGTTAACACCGCAGGCCCCCTCCCGGCGCGCAGGCACGCCGCTGCCACCGGCGGCGGGAAGGAAGGGGCGGGCGGCGGGGGCGGCGCTGCCCGGCGGGGCGGGCCGGGGCGGCGGCACCGCCGCTGAGGGGCCCGGGGGGCGGCGGCACCGCTGAGGGGCCCGGGGGGCGGCGGTGCCTCCCGGCCCGGCCCGGCCCGGCCCGGCGCGGCGAGCGGAGCCCCGTGAGTGCCGGGGGGGCCCGGCGGCCAAGCCCCGGCGGGGTGAGGGCGGGCGTGGCGGCGGCGGCGGCTCCGGGGGGGCCCGGGCGGGTCGTTTCCCGGCAAGTGTTGTCCCGGTGGACTTTGACGGTGGTTTTGCTCCTTTGTCGTCTCCGAACAGGAACGCGGAGGACGCGGCGCTGGTGGGACGAGGGCCTGATCCCGCGGGGCGCGTTGGCGGGAAGGAGCAGCCCTGGCCCGCCCGGCCGGCCGCGGGAGGTTGAGCTCGACGGACGGAGGCGCGCCCGTGGGATCCCGCTCGCAACGCGCCCGTGGGATCCCGCTCGCAACGCGCCCCTCGCGCTTCAGCCTCCTCCGCCGTGCTGGTAGGTCGGGCGGGTCCCGCGGGGAGCGGCGGGGCGGCCCGGCGCCGTGGGGCGGGAGGGACGGGCTGCGGCCCCTCGCAGCCCTCGCCACTGTGGCGACCCGTGGGGGTGGACCGGCCTGCAGCCTCCTGAGCTGCTGTGGTGGAGGAAGGGAAGGAGAGCTGGGCTCTGCGGTTTGTCAAGGGCAGGTGGCGGTGACGCCTCGCTCCTCCCGCCCCCTGACAGCCCCCCGAGGTTGCTAGCGAGAGTCCCTCGGAACTGGGCACAGCAGAGGTGCTGCTCCAGTGGGGCACCCCTGGGGTCCCCCCAGAAGAGGCCGTAGGACAGAAAGCGATGCAGAGCGGGAAGGTAAATGGGGCGGCTGCTTCTCTGGGACGGCGTGAAACGAGGGGCCTCGCTGGCCGAGGTGGCGTGAGGGGTGGCTTGGCTGCCCCTGCCCTGCCACCAGTGCCTGCTCCCAGCTCCAGCACAGACCCGGCCCAGGGAAGGTTACCTTCATCTGGCACGTTGTAAAATACAGATTTAGTAGTGTAAGATCAGCCATGGTAAAATTTGTAAAACATTTAGAAGCATCTCATGCTTTCTCATAGTTCAGGAGGTAGGAGTCCAAATTAGGTTTCTAAATATAGTAATTAAAAAAAAAAAAAAAAGGGGAAAAATACAGGGATTTATACTATAGTCTTAAGTAAGGAGCATTTTTAACCTGCAAGTACATACAAATTGGGTTTCTTCTGAACATTATGTTCTGCTGAGAAAATTCTTTCTTTCAAATCACTTTGGTTTGCACAGGTCGCACCAGGGGTTGGGCAGGGCCTGGCGACGCTCGTGTCTCTCCGGGGCCAGGGTGTCTCCGTGGGCTGGGCGCCGGGCACCGACTGCTGCTCCGGGCGGCCGGCCGCCCCGCTCCTGGGGCGTGAAGGCGACAGCGCCGTTCGAAGGAGAAGCTGGCACGTTAGGAGTGATGAAATTCAGGAAGACAAACACTGGGGGAGAGCTGTGAGACAGAGCGATGATTTCAAGGCTGAGGCAGTTCTTCATTGCAGTTCTGGGCGGCTTTCGTACAGCTGGAGCATCTGGTCACTGACTCCTCCCTTTGTTCTCTTACTCCTTGGCCGATTTCTGCCAACCGTTAGTAACGTAGCTGTGATTTTAAAACGTGGGGCTGTGTTTTCCTGCGCATTTCTGTGCGAGACATGGAAGAACGGGTCTTCTGTTGCATTTCTAATTCCGATTCCCAGTTTTACAATTGGCTACTGTACAGGGAGATTAAAGAACAGAACACAGGGTTGTGTGCCGCTTTTCTTGTACTCTCCTCTGGTTGATCTTGGGCAGATCCTGGCCATCTCCTTCCTTTCGACTTCCATTTGTGTTAATCCAGTGGTGCCTTTGCCTTCGTAAGAGCATCACAGAGCAAACCAACGTACATCATTCATGCCTTATGATCAGCAGCTCCATATGTTCGTAGCAGAATCTTGTGACAGATAGTACAATAAAACGTGACCCTGTCAGACTGAGATACTGATCCACTGATTTACCTGCTGCGGCTCATCAGTTCTTGCTGGCAGGATCCCCAGGCTGGGCAGCAGCCAGTGAGAGCAGCAGGAGGGGCTTTCTTGCTTGTAAAGATTTGTGCATCCCCGTTTGTTGTCTGCAGCAGGCTGTCTTTGGCTGGCACCCGTGGAGGACAGTGCTGTACCTTTATCAAGAAGGCTAGATCCTAAGCTTTAGCACGGGTGTAAGTGGTTTGATGTTTTAATGTGTTCTTGAAAGTGGGCTGTTACTAGGTAGGCTGTGACTCCGTGATTGACTTGCTGGGATGGGAGTTTTGTGGCAGGTACAGGAAAATACCAGTTTCCCCTCCAGTTCATTGAATACAGAGTCACAGGATGGTAATAAGCCAACAGGCTGCTTCCTTCTGACCCAGCACCATGCTTCAGAGCAGTCTAACCTTGGTGTGGGGCTTGGCCAGTGACACCCTTCGGTGGTATGCCTTGCATTTTCCCCTGCTGTGGGAAAAATGTTTGTGGGGGTTGTCTTCTGGCTATAGGTTTGCAGCTAATACATATTGGGGGGTGGGCTGGTAATTGCACAAACCATGGGTTTTGCTGAAGGATGTCTTGAACTCTCATCTTTCCATGTTATGCAGGGCAAGGAAACAGCTGTACATCTACATTAAAAACTTGATATCCATTTTTTTATATTTGTTTCTGTTCACTCAACAGTTTTGAGTGTTATTTTGTATTTGGGTCCATGGAGAGTTTCAGATCTCCTTTATGACCATTAGCTTTTCCTTCCTCTGAACCAAGGCATTCCTCTATAATTTCTGTAGTTGGGTTCCTTAAATCTTTGCTAAATTTCCTGCAGATGGAGTTTCTGAGAGGCTCTGCATCTTCTTCCATGTCCTTTCTTCTACAACCCTGTTCTGAGGCTTCACTTGCTAAGGAAAGCCACTGGTCCACTCTCACTCATCTAGAAAACGGGCTTTCATCAACAGTAGGCATCCCGCTCTTGTCTGTATGAGGGTAGGTTAAGTTAACATTCTCCCTTGTCCGTGGTCTGGCAGAGAGTCTGTATTGATGAAAGTCTGCTTACTTGTACTCAGAGACATTGGGGAAAAAAAAAACAAGCATTGGGAACCCGAGCAGAATTAATACGTTGTACATACTTCTTCCCTCAAATTTGGGGATAATAGTAGTATGTACAGTTTCTTGGACAAGCAGCCAAGTTAAAACGAGAGCAGAACCTGTAGGAAGTTTTCAGCATCCTCTTTGCCTCTTGCCTTCAGGCTGCTCTCCGAGCTGCACGCTGTTCTGGTAAATAAACCGCTGGTCTGGAGGGAGGATTTCAGGGCAGGCTGACAGGGTACGGTGTTACTTTCATGAAATCAGACAGCTGCCAACCGCACGGTGTTCTTTACTTTTAGCAAGGCGTTTTTTCGGGGATGAAAACTAACCTTGTGGCTGCTGAGGACTGCACCTACTTGTGTTGTTGTTTTCTGAAGTATTGGTATTTTCACCTAAAGGTTCTTTGCTGTACTTCACTTTTGCTTGCTCTATCAACTGTCCTCTCACTGAAAAGCCTTTTAAAGTAAGCTAGAGGTCATGCCCAATTCTGAGAAGTGTGTTGTTTTCCCATTCAGTTACAAACTGGCTTAGAAACCTGCAAAGGTTTTATCAATGCTAGCCACAGTGCGGGGTGGGGGGGGGGGGGAACCCAAGGCTTTGAAATTCCAGTGTGTACCCTGAGAGAGATAACCAGGAGACTTTCACTTACATGCTAATCCTGCACAGCAGTTCTTTTCGGTTCCTGCATCCAGCCCTTTCCAATCTGTAGCTCTTATCTCTTGTTGGCAGTAAGCGACTGGAGAGGGAGAGGACGGCCCTGCGAGGATCGAGGGCTCCATTTTTACTCTTTGTTGCCCAAGTTGTTTCAGGGTATTCAGATATTTCAGTGATTGCCCGAGGTAGCTGGATCTTGGGAATCGTGCTTGTCTTAAAATAACTCTGGCTTTTTAAAACTTACTTTTCCTATGATTAGAAGGAGTCTTTGTAATAAATGTTACCACACTGCATCTCCTCTGTAGGATTTGCAGAAAACTGGATGTTAAAGAGAGGCAGAAATCAAAACGGGGGGATTGGACTGCTGTGAGAGCCCCTGCCCGGGGCTGCTCTGCCCGGGAGCCGCCGAGTCCTGCAGCGACGGAGGCGATGCTGTGCACTAAGTGAATGATTCATCCCTCTGCCACTTACGTGCCGCTGCTCTGCTCAGAACGGCAGAATATCCAAAGGCATCACATCACGTGTCCTCCTGAACAACATCCCACCTTGTTAGGGAAAGGCAAGGCAGACGTAGGATGTCCTGGGTTTCTGTCTCTCCATTGTTACACGGCAGACGTAAATATTTAGGGCGATTAGGTGCGGTTCAGAGGTCTGGCTGCCTGAATGCTGTTTGGTTTGCCTCTGCTGGTAGTCAGCTGGGTCGCCTGCCCCGAGTTTGAATACCTTTGTTACAAAGAGTCATGTTTATTGTTTCCATGACAATGACAGCCCTGTGATTATCTGACTATTCCTTCCCCCTGTGTGCTTGGATGATAAACGTCCAGATCTCAGCAGAAGCTCTGAGAGGGAGAAAGGAGAGAACTTTAAAGCTTAGGCAAAAGATTGTTCGAGATGCCGGTGTATTACCCTTCCTGTATCCTTGCTGAAATCAGCCTTAACGGGACTCGCTGTGGAAGGAGGTTGGCATTCTGCATGTAGGACAGGAGCCACTTGCCCGAGCAGTGGCCCCACTGTACGCCCTGGATTAGGTGCTGTATATAAATTGTTGCAGCCCGCCGTTCAGTCTGATTTCTGCAGTGCTGTATCATCCTTTTACCTCTGTCAAAGTCAAATCCTGTGGGTGAACAGGTAGGCAGACTTCTGCAAAGCCAGCACTACAGGTTCCTCTAACTTTGTGATGATACGTAACTCTGACATCTTGACGAGTGCTAAGTTTTATTTACTGGTTCCCTTTGCAGAGTCCCAGTCGTGGAGCTGTCTGCTGTACTGGGGACAAGTGGGACAGCTTGTTAAAAGCCGATGTGGTTTTGGTAAGTAGCATACTGAGCTTCTCTTGCGGATGCAGAGGAAAAAACTAAAAGCCTCCCTGGCTGGAGGAGGGTTACAAGGAGTCATATTTGAACCTAAACGCTTGGGAAGTGAGGAGCCTGGCTTTGTCACAGCAGAAATTACCTGCTGTGTTCAGTTGGGCAGAGCTGGACTAAACTATTTGGAAAAGTGTTACTTATTTTTAATCCGGTGACTCCTGTAACAAAGTGTTATAGAAAGCGGTTTGTTGCAGTATAGCACTGAACTTCGAGGAGATTTTTTTTTCAGAGGTCTTTCAGATAGAAACCATTTAAATGGGAGCAGGAACCCATTTGCCTGTGATAGCTAGAGATGCTGTGTAACAGCAAAACTCTCGCTCTTATGCCTGTCTTTGTCATATGAACATCTATTCCAGAGAGGCAGACGAAACTTTATTTTTTATAGCTTGCATTTATTGTTTTGTAATTACATACGGATGATTTTAATACCTTAAAAAGTCTTATTTATCTAAATAAAACTGCAGCTATGCTATTAATGCCTTCTTCCTTGTATGTTATGTTGTATAATAGTGAATTGCAGGCATCCTTTTACCGTTGTTCTGTTTCCTTCAGTGGTGAGAAATGAACTTACCTTGGCAGGAAACGCTTAGCCAGGCTGGCAAAGAGACTGCTTAGCCCTCCCATGCAAGGTGAGTTCAGCTATGTGGTACGACTCCCTCAATATTTTCTCTCCTTGTATTACCACAGGGCACACATGTAGGAAATAACAGAATAGGTGAAATAACACCTGAACTTTGTCCTCGGGAAGTTCCAGTTCCAGGGATGTGGAAGGGAATCGATTTGTGTTCAGGACTCTTAAAGTTTCAGGACTCTTCCTAAAATAATACACAGTGCCTACACTATTGAAGTTAAATGAGGTCTTTAAAAGCACATTGACTATATGTCAGCTGAAATGGAGCACAACTAGGAGCCTGTATTTTTCAGATGAATTAAATCAACATTTCACTTACTGTAAAATCCGTCTTTAAAAGGACAAGATATGCTCAGGTTTGTGATGGTGCTGCTCTAACTCCTGGCTGCCAGCGTACCAGCGCGGATCGCGGCTCCCTCGCCGCTGCCCCAGCTGAGCACAGCCGCTGAGCACGTGAGGACCTGCGTCTGCAGGGGTTTGGGCCGGAGCCTCCCACCATCTAGGCAGTGGTTTCCAAGACACAGCTGGCAACAGATTAGCACTTGGACACTGAAGGAAACTGACTCCTGTCAGGCAATTCTGCCTTGTGCAGTTACTGAATGAAACATCGCGCTGAGAGTAAAATGAGCTTTTTTTTTTTTTTTTTTTTTTTTCCCCCCTGCCCTTCTGAGGGTGTGAGCATTGTGAGGAAAGCTAGAGTTGTTAAAAGCCCTGTCAGAACTTAACACTCAAGAGATGAGGTAGGTGGAGGGGATTTAAACAGCACTTCGCCATGTATGTGCAAGCAATGGTTGTCAGAAAAACAAGAAAGCAGTCAGAAGATTGAGGGCAGCTTCATTTGCAATTGTTTTTGTGCCAGGAATTACTAACTCACGTAGAGCAGGCAAACTATAAAACTTACTGCAGTGTCTTGGAAAGTGCTGTGCTCTATAAATAATGGAATGAGCAACAGTCAAGAATTTAAACTAGGGTCAATAACTTTGCTTTTAAGCTCAACTAGGAATCAATTTGGAACAATACAGTTGTCTTGCATGCCATGCTACCTAGAAGCTTTCTAGCCCGCCCCTTCCTCTGTGTAGGATGGTCACACAAACATTTGATTTAGCCCAAATGAAAAGGCAGAGGTATGAAGGTGGGAACAGAGGTAAATCCTGCAGAGGAACATGCTGACTGAAGGAATTTCTCCCTGCCTGCTTTAGGAGATGCTTGTCCTCCCTCTACTCACATTCCCTCCTCCTTTCTGCCAGACACTAACTCATCTGCTGGTGTCCCTTAACAGGAGAGGAAAGGAAATCTTCAGTGGTAGGATGGAAACAAAACAGTGATAAAATCCTAAACAGTGACAAAATACTAACTAAAGCCAGCTACCATTTCACAGATGTCCTTTAAGAAGTGCAAAAAAAGGGTAACATATAAAAGAATATCCCCCCAAATGTAAGATAAAAATATCTAAATCTGAATAGTCGTGAAATAAAGTGTCAGGGACGAAACTCTGATGAAATACGCTGTTATATCAAGTACGGTGTAGAACATGTGTGTAGTTGGGGAATCTGAGGTTTAAATCTACAATATTTACAGTTCTGGCTAAGCCCAAGGAGGAGATGATAATCTAAAACTTCTAATTGTTACCAGTAGCGTAGTGAGAAGGGATTAGACATCATACCTCCGTACCTCCCAGTGAAGCTTGTGTATTACCTTGGCTGGATAAAGAGTGCAGCTTTCAGGTGCCAGCAGTGCTGGGTTATAGATGTTATTAGTGATTCTTTGCCATCTTAGATACTTGGAGCTATGTACTTGTCCAGAAGAGCAAGGAGAAATTATGTTTGTTAATGTTTTATTAATGGTAAATATTGAAATTAGGCATGCACGAGATACTACTATTAGGAAGTTTTGAATTATTCAGATGTCTGAATTGCTTTCAGATATCTCCTTGGCCTCTGGTCTGTAAGCATGTTCTGTAGGTATTCTAAGTTTCATCAGTGTATGCAGTTGATAGACACGGGTATAAAGCTCATGGGGTTCTCTAAACCTCCATAGGTATAAAGGTGCTGTCACGTGCAGTGAAATCCTTCCTTTTACTCATTTAATAACAAGTTATTACAATAAAAATCTCACTGATAGCTTAGCTCCCCTTTGTGCTGGGTAAAACTGCAGATGCTAGCAGCAGGGTTTACGGTAGAGGCTTGTTAACTATACTGCTTACTCTAAAAATACACTGGCACGTGCTGCAGCCTGTCATTACGCACAAAAGAAACTTACTGAATTTTCTTCAAGTGATTTACAAACATTTCTCTGAAACGCTGAAACGTTTTGATACAAAACTACAGGTCTGAGAACATTTGTACGTACTTTGTGGTTTCAGAAGCCCTGGAGGCCTGACCTTCTGCCAGGAACACCAACCACCAGTTCCGAGTGCTGGCGCTTCGGTCCTGCAAACTGGTTTCTAAATAGGTGGTGATGTTTTTATGAACTAGCAGAAAGAGGAGGAGAGCTTGTCGCCGTGAAGCTGGTTCTCACGAGTCAGCTGCTAGACTGGGGGAGTCCCATCCTACCTGTGAAGCACCATTTGCCTGCAAATGGGCTTAATTTCCTCTTCAAATATTTGCCTGGGATCAGGTTATGGGATTGGAGCCCCTGTTTGCCGTAGTATATAAAGCAAATAAATAAGGCTTGATATCTTTGCCATGATTATGTTTTCAAGGGCTGTTTACAAAAAAATCTTTTAACTTTGGCTGACCTTAGTACATCGTCATCGGGTGAAGCTGCAGGGAACAGTTGGTTTCTGTGCAGCACAGTCTTTATTTTGGCTGTCAGTCTATTAACTCTGGTAAGCGGGTAAGCTCATGCCAAGCAAAGTCAGGCATATCATGAGATTCTGCTTTGCCTGTATAGAGAAAATAGCCTGAGAACAGCTTTGTAGGCTAAGAAACAAAAAAACGTATACCAGAATTTGGGGCTGACCAGTTCTGATTCTTGAGGAGTTGGACAAAAGGACCCTGTCGGGTGTTTGGTCCCTCCCTCTCCCTTCTCTAGATCTAGAGTTGTCCAGCTTTAGTAAGAATGGTGCTCTAGCTCTGTCAGAACTGCCTTGAACACAGCAGTCTGCTGCTGCTTTCCCTACCTGCCCCCCTCCCCAAGGGGAAAAAACAAAACAAAACAAAAACCAAATGAAAAAGCAGCATTTGTTTCTTGTGAATACCTCCTTGTGACTGCATGTTCAAGCCTCCTTGAGCAACAGGAGGATGACACTAAGAATTGGTGTCACTCCTGCCCGAAGGGTGTACAACAGCCAGGACACAAGGCTCTTGTTAGGTGGTGGCTGTGGGGTGCTTCTGGTTCTTATTCTCTGTAGCAGCAGCAATCACAGGAGTTAAACAGTATTTGTTTGCAGATTCAGGAGAAGGGCACTGCATTGTCAGTTTGGAAGAAACAGATTATTTTTTAGTTCTGTACATTCCTAGATGACTTGCGTCGTGTACAGGGAGTTGCATTCAAAGGCAGCTTGAATTCAGGTCAGGCTTTGCCTGCCTGTAGTGGAAGGACGTTACCGATCAGCACGTTTTATGCACACCATGCACACTTACTAAAGTCGCTTCTACCAGCGTCTGTGCTGAATTTAGCTTCCCTTTGAGCTCACTGAGAATGGTAAGCTATTTACTGCATTTATATGAAACACTATTTTGACAGATTTCTTCAGAAGTAAAGCAACACAAAAGGAGAGGTCCTGTTCTTTGAAAATAACTGGAACCACTGGCAAGAAGCAGCAACACTGTGCATCAAGCAAGGAAGCCATTTCCAGGTTATCAAAACATGCTGTTGAACTGAATTTTGCAGCTGCGTTTTCAAATGTACCATGGGATGCATCAAATCCAAGGATGCCTTTCCAGGTTCAAACGCTATCCAGGATGAAAGGATCGGGGAAGGCAACGAAGGGTGCACTGGGGAGAAGTCATCACTGCTAGCAGTGAAGGTGGATGAGAGAAGTCCATCAAGCACTATAGTGCTAGACTATGCCCACCGTCTCTCCCGTGAGATTCTTGACCAGGCGGTGAAACAGTGGGCAGTGACTGAAAGCAAATACAGCGACATCCCTTTTATTGAAAGTGATGTGCCCTGAGCCCTGACTGGCGAGGACTGTCTGCACAGTGAGTGCCCTGTATGTTGAGCAGTTTGTATTTGGTACTAGTGCGAATAAAGTAAAATCAGTTGTGACCACTACATGAATGTGTTTGCAAGGAGAGGTTGAAAAAAATTTGCCTTTTAATCAATATTGCTAAGAAACTAAATGGATTACAGTAGAACCTATTAATCGTGTCATTTGTTATCGGCCGTATGTTGAGTATACTCTGTGCTGAATGTGATCAGAACTTAGTGTTAAAAAAAGAGGATGAGAAGAATGTGGCTGCCCTGCGCCTGTACTAGCACTGCCACAGAGGCCCCAAAGGTGCTTAACGAAGTGTGGATTATTTTTAAGTACTGCATAAAAAAATCAGTGGCCTGTTTGTAGGTGAAAAGAACTCTGTGCCTCGTAAATTTGTCCGCATTTTGCTAAAGTGAAACCCGGGTCTGCACGTAGCAAAGATAACTGCTGTCATAAATTTTACTTTGATTCTTTGACATGGCTAAATCTGTAAACCACGGAATATTGAAGGTGATGAGAAGCATTTTATAAAACCAAGCAGTATTCAGGGAACCATACCGATTATGACGCTATTCACCTTCCCTTCTGAAGTGAACCAGTGAGAACCATTACGCTGCTGATGGACAGTGCATTGCGGTTAACAGACGCTCGGCCTTCTGGAAACGCATGAAGGCTATTCCCTAAAATCCTGCAGGAAGACACTTTAATAACATCTGATCACTGTGTTCAGACCAAAGCTGTTCAGGTTTCAGGTTTGGGGTTTTTTTTTTGGTGTTTTTTGTTGTGTTTGTTTTTTTTTTTTTTTTCCCTTGTGTGTTAGGGTACTGGTTTTGGAGGAGTTTTTGGTTTTTATACTGTAACCCAGATGGGTGTACAAAAACTACTGATGCTAACTAGTGAAATGAACCTTCAAAGGCGTAACTGTTTTAGAACTATTTGTTTCATGGGAACGATAGCTGCATTACACGGAAATTTCACTCTCACACCCTTGGGACAGGACGCCTTCCTTCAGCTTCTGTAGGCTCATCACTTACCCGTTGGTACAACAGTGTATGGCGATGCAAATACGAGCTACAGAAACCTAAAGCCCGAGCAGTGCACTGAATTAGTGAAAAAGCCTTAGGCCCAAAGCGAAAGGGCTACAGTCTTTACCAATTTGTATCTCACTTGCACCTACACACCACCCTGCTTCTCCAGGACCTGCAGCCTGACCTACAGTACTTGTAGCTAGCAGTTGGGATACCAAGAAAGGGATAAATTAACCATAGTCATCTGAAAGCTACAATTTTGCTGACATTTTATACAAAGTGAATGCCTTGTAAAAGCTTGGGGTTTTTTAGTACCCGTTTGTTCCATTTTCTGTCAAGGCCAGTTTAAAAGGCAGGTTTTTTTCCTAGATCTAAGTAATTTCCATGTTATGTTTTCTGTTTATAGAAAAATGCTTTCCATACTGGCAAAAACTGTTACTATTTCTAAACGGTACACATAGTTCTAGTAAATGGTAGAAAGCATGATTTTTCAAGCAAGGGGAGGCAAGCAGAAAGAGGACTATGTAAATTGTTATTTTTAGCTTATTCTCAGACATAAGACAGTCTATGAATTGAGCTGTTTTGCAAACTTTGTGACCCAAACTTAGTTATTTGAAATTCATCTGTAAGGTGAAGTGGTTTTATCAACAGTAAACGGTGAAAAATTCTTCTTTGTAACACAGCGCAAGACTGCCCTGAATTCCCAGTGACCAGACTAGACCCTGCTGTTAAGACTGGTCTCAGGCTTTTCCTGAGAAAGGGAACACGGTTTGCTTATGTTGTAATGTCATCTTTGAAGTAATGTAGTCTTCTTTGAAGCCATATGTAAACTGGGACTAAGGTACGGTGGCCCATTTGAAGTTGGCTGCTAACAGCGATGTTCCTTGAAGCTCTAAAGCATGTAAAACATTGGATCGTACCCTACATTGCTCCATCTAAAAGAACTCCATGCCATATACTAGGGTGGATTAAAAAGCAAAACCAAAACACTGATCAGATCACGGGATATTGCTTAGCCACAGAATTAAGAAATATTCCTTAATACAGCTAAAATAAAGCTTTATTACAAAAAAAGGCCAACCTTTCTGTAACATTAGTCTTCAGAATGTTAACACTGCTAAAGACAGTAAGTAAAAGAAGAGGCGTGGGGGGAGAACCTAATCTCCAGCAGACATTATTTGCCGGATGGGTGAATGGCAGATACTCCTAAACGCACTCTTAAGGTGAGGGCAGTTTTCTGTCTGCCTTGATCCTTGCACACAGACCTGGGTGGCTGCCGTGGGGAGTTAGGTGTTGCGATGACTCCTGTTGCAATGTCCCCCCCCCTCCCTTTGGGTGTAGCCGCAGCTCCTGACACTCCTGCAGTCACAGAACCAGCTGCACGTTCCAAAGCGGCTTCTCCGCCGGCAGGCTGCCGCCGCACGGGCCAACGGCAGGCACAATTGTAAAATAATACAAAATAGCCTAAAGTTACATCCTAGCATCCGTGCTGATGACTAGCGAAGGCTAGCCAGGCACAATCAGACCCGCCTCGCGGTGGGCTTCCACGGGGAGCGGCTGCTGCGTGGGGCGGCCGCGCGGCGGGGCCCCCCACAGGCGACACGGCCCGACGCGCCTGCAGCGCCCGGGCAGCCCCCGCCCGCCCGCCACCCCACAGCCCGGCCTCGCGTCCGTCCGGGATGCCAGCAGCTGCACTGCGGGCTGAAGCGCACCTCCCGCGGGCTTATGGTGCTCTCTGTGACGGTGGTACGTCAAGGAAAGCATGCGGCAAATGGAAAGCAGGCAAGCTTACAAACAACAGGGAGACAGCTTCTCACCAGGAAAAAGAATCTCTTTTACAAGATGCTGTCCTTAATAAATAATGCACTTGCCCTTTGTCAAAAAAAAAAAAAAAAAAAAATCTGTTCAATGCTACAGTCTGGTGAGAGATTGAAGGAGATCTCTTTCCAGAGTTCTGCTGTCTTTGTAACAGACACCATACTAATACGTAATAATAATAAAAATAAATACTTGTTTACCATAAAATTACATATGTTTACTTATAATTAGATTACTCTAAGCTGTGCTACAGTCTTATAAAGCCCCTTACAGTGGCTTTCCAGCTAAGTTGCCACTGATTCTTTGACTTGATCCGGTGTAGTAAAGGCACTCCAGTATGGGACTGGCATACTCTGCAGAACCATTTACTTCTGTTTAGGAGTTAAAAATGCATTTGCTTTATATTTTCTCCAGGAAATGTAAGTACAGTCTGAGTAGGTGCAATGCGACTCACTTGATATTCTAGCAGTGGTTCAAAACACATTAACTGCAGCACAACTTCTGGAGCAAGACACATTAGTATTCCCAAATAAAACACACTACAATATATTTTTACAGTATCTTTTGTGGAAAATATTTTCTTGTGGACCAAATAAAATTAAACTTACCATCTGCCTGTATGACTTTTATTTGATAAAAATTCACAGATTGGACACGATCTTGTTACCATGAGTTTCAGATAATTCCTGTTCACATCAATTCTGGAAGCAACTGAATATGCAAGTCAAAGTTTATCGATTCAGAAATATACTCTTGCAAAAATGTCGGAAGTCCTTTTCAGTCAGAGAAGGCGTGATCCCTACTCTGGGGACTACTGTGTTCTTCACGAAATGTAGTCACTGAGGTTTGCTCCCTTTATACAAAAATAATGGAATGAACCAATTTTTAAAAAAATAAAAATAGCCATTGTTTAAGAATCTAAAATGTAAAAGTTTTAAAAAATAAGGGGGGAGGGTTAACATTTCTGACAGAACCAGCATGAGGTAGAAATTCAAGTCATATTTTCAGAATAACCCTAAAGGTACTAAATGAAATCTGTCAACTACTTTTGAAAATAAACTCAAGGACTGTCTCATAACAAATACGTACATGGTAACATTAATTTGCAGCTGAAATTATAACAGTTTTAGCTTAAAGATTCTTATGAAGAAGGCAAGGTGCCATTTTTTCTTGATTTTGCTCTCCATTTTGCTCACCTCTAACCATTTGAAAGTCACTCTAGTAGTTCACCTTGATGCCTGAATTTCCTGGACTTTGTTTCCAGGCAACAGCTTCTGGGAAAGAAGGAGCCTTAAGCCAGTGTAGGCGACGACTGTCGGCAATAAGAACGGCGCAATGTTGAAAGCTCCGTTCTGCTGCAGCTCTGACCTTTCCATTCCCCAGTGCTGATTACTGACTATGTTATCTGAACAAAAGTTTTCTTCCTTTAGTCTCAGTGGTTCATCTTCAGAGTAAGCCAGAATTTGTATTTGTGACCTGCCTATAACTGTAGAAACAAGTAGGGAGAGATACTGATACATGATTTGATTAACCGTTAGAAAAGCGTGCAGTCTTAATGTTGAAGATGAGTAGCTATGTGTTGCATACGAATAGATAAATTAATTTCACCCCCAGAAAAGATTACACTTTTATCAAGGGGCTCTGGTTATGTCACATAACTTCAAGTATTATTAGTGTCAGAACCCAGCAACCTTTAATGCACATACAACGAGGAGTTTTTGATTTATTCTTAAATTTTCATCCCAACAAGTAAATTTGTTAGGATATGTTGTGTTAAAAAAACCATACAATACATGTAGCAGCAGATATGTCACGTTTTCCCCTATTTGTACATATCACTGTGCTCCCCCTCCCCGTCACACATTTTCCACCCAGCAGACAGGATATTCACAGGCATAAGCAAATGGGAACCCAAACTAGTTGGTATAGAGAAACTCCAGCCACTTGTAGTATTAGGGCCAGGCTGACCTCTACGACTCAAATCATCAGACAGTCACCAACATCAACAGGAAATGTGCTGCTTAGTGTTCAGAAGAAGGTCCAAGACAGTTATTTCTTCACCACTGTAAGACCGGGAAAAACTAGCAATTTCTGAAATAATGAAGAACTAACTATGCAGTTCAATCAAACTTAATGACATTTTTACAAAATTGGGTTTACAAGCAAACAGAAGTGTGTTCTAGGCTCTGGCAATATTATGACATCTGAAACAATGTCTACATCACACAGCAAGACTGAGTACCGACCAAATGTTAAATCAAAGCAATTTCTTGCTCTCAGACTAATAACGTGTCAGTCTGACCTTTTATTTAAAAGACTACTTAACACCATGGATTTAGCATGTCACATTTTCCTTTGTAGCTCTGACTCTTTTAAAGCTTTAAGTATATTTTATTTTCATTGTATAGAGAAGAATCTGAGGCACAATCCCAATTTAACAGATCAGTGACAGAGCCAAGAACACAAAGGTCTCCTGACCTCTTGCTTATTAGGTCATCCCTTAACTATGCTCTCTCCCTCAAAGGTTCCTCCTAAACTAAGAGTTGATGCAAAAAATTAAATGTTAATCGTTGTGTAAAGCAATAAAAATAACAATTTGCCTTGAAGTAATTCTTGCCCTTATTAACCAGAGATATTATTATTTTGCCGTTATGGCAGCGTAACAAAAATGTTCCTGAATGCAAAAAATTAGACTTACAAATCTCAGGCTAGCTAAGCGAGTCCTGCCAAACTTTATCACACTACTGTTAATTTATATATAATAGAATTAACCAGATGTGTAAGATATCAATAGGCTTGATCTTTACAACTTGAGATCGTTGTTTCCCAATGGCTTAAAACAATCATCCACAAATTCATCACTGACTTCTTCTAGAGCAGCTGGCTTCCACCTGGGGGACTGGTCTTTGTCAATCAGCACTGTCAGGTGGAGTATAAAAACACAGAAGTTACTTGTAAACTTTTGCTAATTAAGATGACTTCAGATTCTTCAAGACAGACAAATACAGTTAATGCATGGGGGAGAAAATATGGTCTGGAGAAGACAGAGATTTTGTAACATATATATTTCTACTCTGATAAAAATTCTGGAGTTGTGACCTGTATAGAGACATATCTGGGAGTTGCCTGAGGATACAATGAACAGTGGATCCCTTCAGCAGTAGCACAAGCTTTGAAGGAACAGACCAGAAGTTAGTGCTTTGTGTTAGACTTACTGCTCTTGCCTGACTTCTGCTTTTTCACGTGAACCTGGGAACATGCACGATGCTCCTCTTGGACAAGGGCTTTCACATCTCTGAGCAAAAGCTGACTCTTTGTAGAGTACAGGAGATGACTCAAAGTAGGCGTTAGATGCCTAAAGCTAACTTAAACACATCATAGAAACTAACAGTGAAAGGACTGATGAGGAAAGAGTAAAGCAAAGTACCTTTGTGGGAAAATCCAGGATATTTATTTCAGAATAGACAGGTACTGCAGACCTATGTAGATTTAACTGTGAAGATTTGTATAATCTTAATATGTATACTTTGTACTGTATTCTGGGAAATACATCACTGAACATAAAATCATCAGTAAATGAATTGCATGTAAAAGTGTAACAAGAAAACACCAATTCTCAACAAGCATTCCTTGTATCACAGGAATTGTGAAGGCATGTCAGCAAAAACAGCTGCTCTAGCAGACAATAAGAAGACAAGGGAGTTTATTTGTGTGTAACAATGACCAATTTGAATGAATTCCAGAGTGTCCTGCCAAGCACTTGCAGCCTTTCTGGCTCCAAGAAAACCCATAAAGGTGCTATTCAAAATGTGCATTTTTCTTATACTTTAAAAAAAGAACAGCTAGAGTAACTGTGGCTCTCTAGGATGCACTGACTACCCAGTATGCCTCCTCAACACCCATTCCCCTCAGATGTGTGGTATCAGTGAGTGATCTGGAGGTGCACCCGTGTCACCTCCCAGCCATCACAGCACGTAAGGCAGGACGGGCAGGGAGCACCTCTCACGTTCCTCTGCTGAGAACAGGATTTGTTTGTTTTTTCTGACAAAGAGTTCAGAGTAGGCTGGTTCTAAAAGTGTGTGGCTAGAAGATACAGAGACTAGCTGTTTTGAAAAATAACAGCTGTTTTTTTGGTAAGTTGTCATGTCTTTTTGAACAGACTTTATTCCTGGTGACTAAACTAGAATCATCCGGAATGAGAAATGGGCAAAGGAGTTGGCTTTTAAGTTCAGTGGGAAGAATGCTTACTTAAAGATTGTGTCTTATCGAAACTCAGGCATAATGGCAGTTTGTGGTAAGGAATGTGACTTGAAAACTTTGTAACTTTTCCCTCTGTAGCCAACACTTGGAAAGTGCCTGGGAAATAAATACTATTCAAATGATAACTGCGCTAATTAATATTTCTGTAGCTGAAAACATAGAGACATCACAACTCTTCAGCTTGCATCTCCAGAGAGAAAGGAGTATCAGAGCCCTGCATCCATTTACTTGCAAATACAGAACTAAGGACTCCTTGGTACAAATAAACACTAATTTCGAAAAGAAACCCATTATATAGATAGAAGTTGCAATTCCACAGAAAGCAGAATCCATCTGGGCAATTCTTTAAAAGAAATGCACTCAGAGATTTTACTGGGCTACTCAACTGGGTAGCTTACTCAAAAGCTGTGATCCTGGAAGTTAATTTTCAATCGATGGTTCACACTAAAATGTTTGTTTGGGTCGAAATACATAATTGTCCCAAATCAATTATATTTATATAATTGGAGTAGTACTTACCTAATGATTGTCTTCAACTTTAGTTGAAGTTCATGACCTGGCCAAAATAATCTTAATTGTTATCCCCAAAAGCTATAACTAACTAGAAATGCTTTGGGGGGTGGGGGAATAAAAGAAGTCCATGTGAATACTACTACAGCTTCAACTCGGAAATACAGTAGTAATTGCTGATAATTCTCCACTTTATGGCACTACTGTGTAATCAAGTTAATCCTTCTGTCTGGATCTGTGGCCAATTTTACTCTGGTGAATAAACCGAATACTCAAAATGGTCTTTCCAATGAAATCTTTAATCTTACATGAGTTAAAATAGGTTTTCTGATAGTCCCATGAAAATATTCCCTTTCTGCATTAACTACTGTATATTTTGTGTTTCTCCAGCTTGAGGTATTGATCACTACAAAAACGGAACAAAAATTATGAAGACTTCTAAGGTAGGCTAAGGGAAGTTCATTAAGATAACAGTAACTGAATATACACATTGTGGTAAGGGTTTACCTTTTTTACCTTTTTTTTTTTTCCCGTTTGTTTAAATCCCAAATGCCTGTTCAGTAACAGGGACCTTACTGGACTTCAGTTACTGTTCTATTGCTTAGCTTCATTCAGCACAGTCAAAGCACTGATATTTCTACGCACCTGAAATTCTGTTAGTTGCAATGAAATCTCTCTACCTACTCTCTGACTGTGGGGGTTTGTGTGCCCAGGGTAAGGCTCACATCTGGCAACTGCTAGCGCTGCAGGAGAGAGGGCCGAAGCCACACAGAAAGAAGATCTTTGCAGGATCAGCAATCTGTAGAAGGCCTTTACAATTCCATTTGAAGTGTCCGTTCCTGCACAAATAGTTAGGAAGCTAATTTAACAGATTTTTGTCCCCTCAGGCTGCTGAGTCTACCTGGATGTGTTTGAGCAGTAACTTAAAAAATGACCGCTTTTCTGATGCAGTAAGAATTAAAAAACAAAATTATTGGAATACCTAGAGCTATGCATTCCTTAGTTTATGTATTATTCTATAAATCAAGGTGAAAAATGGATACCTAAAGTGTTTAAAGATCACATTTCCCATTATGTGGGAAAATGTTGATGAAATATGATCTGTGTATTTTATGCCTTAAGGGTTTTGTCTTTTCTTTAGTAGCTCTGATCACAAGAATTATAAATGGGGAAGACTGTTTGCCAGCAGATTTTCAGTCCAGTTGAAAGAGAACTGGCTAAAAGAGAAATGAAATTTAGACCGCAGGTCAAAGCAGGTTTAAAAAGCTTTTAAACAAACTACTTCCCTAGCATGCCTGTTAAAGTTGCGAAGCAGATAAAAGCTGTTATTAAAACCTGACCTATGGCCATTGCTGCTGAAAAGCAATCTTCAGAAAGTAAAATATGATTATTATATCTCAACACGACTTTGTGGTAGATCCTCTTGTGGTAGACAGGGTCAACAGCTGGCTCTTAAATGCCTGGAATGTAATGCTTTAATAAAGAAAAAACTAATACTGAAGTTAACATTTTAATCATTTTTATTCACTGTGGTTGATCCTGTGAAGTACTTAATAATCTTCCTATCAAGAATGATGCTCAGCATGTTGTTGGATAATGATTTTTATGAGATTAGACCCAACTACAAAAATTATTTTGAGTCAGATTCTGTACTACTCTTAAGAGAAACAATTTTAAGAATACAAATCTGAGAACAAGATATACACAGTAAGCAGAGAGCAAAAGTGCTTCAAGAACAATTTATTGTTCTTAGCAATCCCCTCAGTGCAGCTGCATCTCTGGTGTTTTTTTCCCTTCCCCTGATATAGTTAAGCCTTTGCTACATCATCCTGCGTAAAAGAGAAGCTTCCCATCTGCTGTTCTTGCAGCTTCTTTATTTACAAAGTTTATATAATTTACTGGCCATACTGACAAGTGATTTGCTTTTGTCCTCTACTGCATCCCCAGATGGTTTGATGACCTTGTGCATTACAAGTGAGAATTTGGTTTGGTGTTCATCTGACTCTCAGACTTTTGAGTTTCACTTCCTGAATAACTATGTTTCAGCAGCTTATATGGTGATTTAGAATATATCCTAGGAATATTCTTTTTAAGATATCCTTGTCCCCATTACCAAAACAATGAAAACGACATACTTCTCAACCTGTGTGGTAAATTCTTCAAAGGTGTGTCTGCTAATAAATGCTAAAGATTAATTAATTAAAATTAGAAACTTTTTCCATGCTACTTTATAATGACAGATATAAAAAAAAATTGAGAAGGTGTGATAATACATACTCAAGTGTATAACTTGAGTGTGTGAATTAAAAGCCAGGTTCTCTCGACTCCAAAGTGTTATTCATCCAAATGTCTTGTACTGTAAGCTCCTTGGAAAAGGAAACGCTTGTGCTTTGTTTCATCTTGTGCTGAATAGTACGTAAATAATTACTACAGTTTCTAACAGATGTGACATTGGGTTTGCTAAACTGCATAGTGAATCAGCAGTAGAATCAAGGACAGAATCTATGTCTCTCCCCTAGATGAACTTGCTGAGCCACTACTCTACTTCCACCATTCCCTATCTTGACCAATGCCTAAAAATTCTGAATTATTTAAGTTTACATATATAGTTTTTTATTAGTAAGACACCTCTATACAGAGATATATTGGACATGAGTGAAAGTAGTGTCTGTTCTAACAACTTTTTATGCAAATAGTTGTTCTTGACTTTGAGTCTTAAACCTGAACCAGCTATGTGGCAACAGTACATCTGGACACACAAACGATACACTACCGTCAGCATTCCAATATATTTTGAACTTTCACAGTGAACTGGTGAAACCTTTTTGTGGTGCCGCATTACCAGGGGGATGAATAATGTTAGGTAACTGAGATGACACAAAGGAAACAACATAGCAGTTACTTTGGAACAAATAATAAATTCTGGCCATACAGGAGTCCAGTAACGAAAAACTGTAGCAAGTTGGGAAGTGTCCTCTGGACTGTTGCTGCATGCATTTTCCTTAACCTCCAGAGAAGCAACACAGCAGGGGTTTGCATATTATTAAGTTTGAGAAACATTTCTGACCTGCATACTTACCTGCTCGAACCCCTTCATAGAAGTCATGGCCTCTCTGAAAGATTTAAAAAAAAAAAAAAGCTGTAACATGACAGATTCTGTTTATTCCATATTTTCCTATCCCACTTCTGCCTGAAATGCAAGCTCTCAAGATTCAGTTAAACCCCACTTGAACTGTTCTCAATCTAATCCTACTTTCTCTTTACCTATTAATGAGCTCTTAATCCTGTTGCTTAAATGCAGCCACAACTCTTAAAATCAGTTTGTTGAACTGTAGTTGATCAACCAACTCTTGTGCAGTGCAAACCCTCTTTGTGTGTTACGTTTTGTAGATTTTTCTGAAGAGTTTTCCATGACAGGGGCTAAAGTGTGTAGGATTAGGAATTCTTCAGAATTACTCAGCCCTTACTACAAATGCTACTAGACTCTTGTTTTCTTTAAGAAATTTATCACAGCACTCCTGAAAAGCAGTGATCTACAACTATTGCCTTCCTGCTGATGGGAACTGAGGCACCAAGGACCAAGTAATTTAAATAGGAAATCTGTTCAAGAACACCAGAGTTTTAAAATTAAGGTCCAAATACAAAACTTCCTATATTGTAACATTATCATAGTTTTCTTAGCCAAAGCCCTCTACCATTGCCACCTGACCACTATTAACACAGTCGTCTTTGAGTTGCATATAAAGACATGGAACTGGAAAAAAAGACAGTGACAGCCTAACAAACACACGAAGAAGATACTGAAAATTAAAACGTATAAATTACGAGCCTTTGATGTAATCTATATAAAACTTAGACTCTGATAAACTTGCTAACCCTCTGTGGCTGGAAAGAGACACAGGGCTCAGCTGCTTGCTTACCATGCACGCTTGGCTCAGTCTGTATTCCATCCTGAATACGTCTTGTAAGCTCATGGAAGCTCCTTCCCTGAGCTGCCTGAAAGTCATCTTTAAGGATGTAGGTGACATCTTATTAATAGTCTGGGGAAGACATTAACAATTATTCATATTCTCTTCAATTTAGACACATTTGCAAGTCTGTCTTTTTTGCATTTTAAACTGTGGAGTAAATGATGTCAGTCTTCTCCCTGAGCTCACTTACGTGATACCTATTCCTCCTGCTCGCTCCCACCATGCTGCCACACTAAATGAACCTGCTTGTGTCAACTTTTATCAGCAAGATCTCTAGGATGTATGCCATCACTTGCGGAAAGCCTAGAACTCCTAAGGTCCCATTGTTTATGATCAAATTACTCCTAGCCAGAGAATCTAATGTGGCTTGAAAGCCATTTCCAAACATTATTTTGAGAAGTGAAGGCCAGTGTTACAAGCAATTATACTCCATTTTTGAATGTCATATATAGTCTGAATTGCTATTAGATGTTACTGATATTGTTGCTGACACTAGTATTGTACAGCATTTACGTTTTATTTGGTACAATAGTAAGAGTAGTAAGGTAGTAACAGTGAGACTAGCTTTAAGTAGTTGCTGTGTGATCATTGGCAATGACTAAACAATGTATGAAGAAGAAAATTGAGGAAGAAAAAATATTAAAAGGAATCAAACATAAATGCATATTTGTCCAGGCTTCTTGTCTGGGATCAACAGATACTGCAGTAATTCAGCCAGACATTGCTCTGCTGATAGGAAGCCTGGAGGTCTTGCCTTCCCTTCTTTTGACAGAGCTACAGGCTGCAAATATTACACGACAGGATCTGTTTAAGGCGCACAAACAAATGCTGTAAATCTGGCTCTCATGACTGTCCTTCAATTAACAGCATGACAGTAAATAGGAGGAGGAGGTGGGGAGAAAGACAAAAACCTAGTTAAGAAAACAGAACTGAGCTTTAAAGCTTCCAGGGTTGTGGGGGAAAGGAGCAAAATCTTATTGTTGCTGATCTTTGTTTTCTTACTCTAAACAAGACTCTTCTTCCCCTGTACACCCAACTAAAAGCTCTGTATTATTCACAGTACAATAACTGTCCCTGTTAATTGGGACATTTTTACCACTACTGAAAAGCAGCAGATGGTAAGATTTGCCTCTTTACATTATTTTCATTGCAGACATTAGACTCCTTACCCACAAACTGAAATGGCAGGTTTCCAGTCATCAACATTAACATTTTTTTCTGGCTCCCAATTACTCTTCATCCCTCTCCAGACACCAGCTGATACAGCAGTGACCCATTTTGCCTAGTTAAGCTGGAAAACATGCAACTGCTATACAAGCAGGAGGCTGTGTAACTGTACCTTAAAAACACAGTTCTCTCATTCTGTTATTTGCATGTTGACCACTTCACTTGAGAGAGAAGCTGGTTTAGAAAGGACTAATGCTGGCTCAAACTGTCAACATTTCCTGAGTTTTGGTAAAGCTCTCTAAAAATGAGCTGCCTTTCAGCAGATAAAGAAACCATCTTTACCTCTAATTACATCACTGTGTAGGTCTCAGGTAGAGAGCAACTCTTAACTGGACCCCTAATTTCCCATAATATGCTCTTGCTGGCTTTACCTTTGAACTGGACCTTTTCTCCTTTGAGTTTCACATTCTGTCACCTACATTAGAAAGTCTTTGCTCAGACCAGGTCAAAGGGGATGCACAGTGCAACCAGATGGTTCCACAGGTGAAATAGTAATGGCAAGTTGTTTCTGGTTAAAGAATGCATCAAAATGGGGAAGATCTGAAAACAGCACTTAGCTAGTCTAGTGCATGTAGCAGCTGCCTTATCTTGGCATATCAATGAGGTTGAAGGTGGAGGAGGCACTGCCATAAATCAAGCTGAAGGAAGAGGAACAAGGAAAGAAAAGGGGTAGGTGTAATTGCAGAAAAATGAGTCACCAATGTATCTATAAATAAATTCTCTGTACAAAGAGGAGGGGATTGGTGCTAGGGAACAAGCCTGAAAAGGAGACAGGATAGGCTGAAGTGGGGAGTACGAAAATGCAAAGTCTTCATAGAAGTGTTTGACATCTATTCTAGTATCTTTGAGACCATCTTGATTTCAACATAATGATCCTAAAAGCTACAAGATGAATTTGGAATAGACCCAAATTCCAATAAGATACTATCAGAAGGTAACACAATTAAGTGGCACTGACTCAGTGGAGTCCCTTACAAGTATAATAGCTGGAATAGTGGCTGCATCTTTGTCTCCAAGGCCCATTATAGCTTCTGACCTGAGCTGCTGAGAGTCCTTGAGGGAGGTTTTCTTTAACTTAAAAACAACCAAAAAAACTCCCAGGAGTACAGTGTATCACTTCCCTGGCAGTAGATGAAAACACTCATCGTTTACTTTCTGAAATACTAAAGCATTTGTTTGTCCACACCAAATAATGGTTCTAGATGAGCTTTGACAAAACATGAGTCCCTAGCCAAAGCATCACTGGAAAGCTGCTTAAGGACAGATGTGTATCATTCTCTTACTGGTCTGTTAATGGAATTTCATAATGTTTCTTTACTTGAATTCAACACTACCAAGATACCACCCAGCTTCATTCCTGTAATCTCTCTCACCCACTTGCTTTAAGATTTCAGGAGCTAGTGTCTGCATCCCAGCCTGACCAGTAGATCTGGACAAGGTGTCTTGTAATTACTAGCTTCTGCAGTGTCCTACACACTACACTGGAATTCCTTCAATAACAGTGAAGGCTATTAAATCATGAAGTATCAGTGCTCAGAAGGTGTGCTGTCCTGCCAAAAAAAGCTATAAGAAAGCATCATGTGAAAATCAAGTCAAACATCTGATGCTTTTCAGGTTTTGACCCCACATGCCTACTTCATCCAATTAGAAGTGGTACTTCTGTCACTGAGATTAAAGCTTTTTGGCTCATGTAAATCCTGAAAACAAAGCAATGTTATCAAGTAAAAAGTTTTAAAAAATATTTTACTATGAATTCAAAAAGTGTGTTAGTACTCTAGCTTTCTACCTATTTGTAACTGGGTTCAAAATGTGATTTAAATCATGAAGCCATTTTCAAGTAGAATTTTAACAACTTTACATTCTTCTGACTCATGCAAACCACTTTAGTATCACGTATGTGAAAGCATGCCAAGCAGGCATGTTTTGAAAGTGATCTAAAGTACTTCTGCTTTTTAAACAGAACAGGATACTTGGATAGCATGGCTCACAGCATACTTGCATTACAGCAGCACTAGCAGTTCTGTTTTATGAACACTATCCAAGGTGTGGATGTACCAAGGCGTACCTCCAAATTAGAGTATTTGTATTAGACTTTCAGTTAGGGCTTACTCCATAAGCTTATGAATACAGGAAAACAAAGAAAATAAGCATACACATTGTTGTTACTGAATCCTTTACAGTCTCTGTATTTATCATTTGAATATGCTATTGTTCCTATACCCGGTACTTGGTACTGTGATACTACTGATGCGGAAATTTACTTGCTTCACACAAGTCAGTGAACTGCTACGAAGGACGGTGTCTGATAATCTCAGACTGTCATGGTTTTGCTACATGTTCCCCATTCTAACCAGTTCTTTGAACTCTGCTCTTCTGGCTGATGTAACAGCAGGCCAGTGCTCTATCTGTAAGTGGTGTAAAATGCTGAACTGCTAGGGTGCAAGCTACCATTCTTCTTCCAGGTATCGTTAAGTTTAATTACAATTCTCCTTCCCTAGTAAAACAAAACCTCCAGTTTAACTGGCAAGCATTTCCTGGAGAAAGCCAGTTGTATACCTGAATCTCTTTCCTCCACAAATGCGTTTTCCTTCTTTGGTTTTGTGGCTCTTTTACAGAAGAAACGAAGTATCTGATGCTACAAGTTTACTTAATTCTACTGCTTAGCACAGAATGTTAAACTTGTGTGAAATTTAAGTACTTGTTCACACTGATAAGTCTTGCACCTGCTAGAAAATGTGGGGTTTGTAGTTTTTTTTTCCTCACAAATTTCTGTATGGACAGAAGCAACTCATTAACAGAGTAGCATCTCTTGAACAGATTCGACAACAGACAATTGTTTAGCAACTTCTGTCAGCTCCAAGGATGGTCATTCATTTACAAATCACACAAAAAAAAAAAGCTGCTACAAAGTCCTATTAGAGACATGAAATAAGAAAACAAAAGAAGCAACAAAAAAGCCATTTTTTCTGTTCAGGAATTAAAAATAAAATCAGTCACACAAAATCATAACTTTGAAGTAGATGACATAATTTAAAGTTCTAAATTACAATATGAAACAAATGCACCCCCTAAACAACAAGGAACAAGAACTTTTTTTTTAACAGGGGGAGGATCTGAGTTATGAAGCTGCCTGCTGCTGAAGGAAGCAAGTGGAACAGGTTTGGGTAACTAGATGAAACATGGCAGAACAGACTACCTACTTAACATATTTCAGTAAAAAGGTGCTTCCACACTACTTGCATCTTTTGTAGTAGCATCTGTATTTTGAACAAAGCACCCTTAAAGGCCACATGCTATTTTTAAAAGCTCTACTAGGTCTGATTATGTTTTAAAGTGCCATAAAATTGTATGAAATTAACTTAGCAGAAGCTATATGCAAATAATTCTTGATTGTTTTCAACCTCCACTGAAACTAATCAATATACTATCCCTGCAAAATTATATTAAACTTTATAAAATCCACAAATAAAATACTGCCTTGTAACTCAATATTATAAAAAAATAAGAGCCACTAAAAGTGACTGCTATTAACATGCTATCAAACTGTCTCAACAGACCTTAATATAAGTACTTTCCCTGCCATCTGTAACATAGGGGAAAAAGTGAAGAACTGAATCATAGAGATAAAATTAGCTTCCCCTTTCATTCAGTTTTGCTTTTATAATACATACACTAATTGCAATGTACTAGGTGTATTGGTTAGGACAAAGATAGCTTTAAAACTTCCTTTCCCAAAATCTGTTTGAGAGTTCCAGTGACAAAATGTTAAACCTTCAGTTAAAATCAAAAATGTATCTGTGTATCTGGGACAGGATGCCTAATGTTAATGATACTACATTATAAAATTATATTCCTTCTGCTTAAATGGAAGTCTGAAGGTGATGGATGTTTTGTTTCATTACAAGAGCAGGATTTCCTCTGTGAGTTGTAACTGAGGTGAAAACAAAGCCGTTGTTGGAGGAATGCTTGTGTTCCATCCAATTGTAAATAATATCTGAATAGCTCAAAGACAAACTTTTACAAGGTCCCTGAATACAGATACTTCACAGGAAAAAGAGCAAATACATGCATTACTTATATTAATATAAGATGCTTCTTTTAAGGCTGGAGTGTGTATCAGTTGTGTAGTATTATTCTACATTTCCTTGAGTAGTGACTACATCCAACACTCAAATGCATTACAAAGGTCAGAAGACACTTTGTGATGATAAATTGCTTGCTGTTTACCCAAATAAGATATCTGGAATGGAAGAAAAAGAATAATATTGGTTTATTCCAACCATTAGCAATAAAAAGAGAAGCTATAGAAGGAACCTTTGTCACCAACAATCCCCTGATCATGGGGAGCAGAAAAGGGAAAGGGAGTTTGATTTTTTTTTTTTTTAACAGGATTACAATTTTATACAATATATGATGGTATTCACATTGTGTGGTTTTACAGAAGAATATTCTTGTCTGAGTAGAACTGATGACAATCCCACAGGATTATACGCCAGAATCTGAGGATCTCAGTCCAATGTCCTACCGGTGTTACATAGTATTAGTTACGTTAATAAGGTGACTAAAGTCTGCCCCATGGTAAGAAAGAACAGAACCAGACTTTAAATCTCTAACAAAAACAACATAGCAGACATTACCTCTAGCTGCTTAATGGCAAAAGGAGAACCATCTTGCTTCAATTTTTTAACAATTTCTTCCATACTATTTGCTGAAAAAATACTAAAAGAAAAAAAGTAAGTTAATAAATGAATGAACTGCTTCAGCTTTCCTCTTCTGTATGAAGTGCAAGGAACACAAAAATTAGGAGAGTGTAACCAGCTTGATTTGGCTTTTTTTTAGCAATGTGTTCCCTGTTATTCAGTTTTAAGTAACTCAGTTGACAGACATCTCATCTTATTTACAAATCTCTAGCGTTTCAATAAACCTCGCTTATGAACTCTGATATTTACCCAGAAACTTAAATTATTACCATCAGTCTTATCTGTATTTGTATAACACATCAAATCTTTAGCTATCTGCTCCATTCTACTAGTCTGGTGTCAACATCTTTCATCTCTAAACTTAGTTACTGCCATCCTTCTTCAAGAGTTTTAGCTACTGCTTATCACTTTCACTTATTTCTTCTTCCCTTTCTGATACACAGAAGTTCCAAACAATTGTTGAAATTACCTTATACCAATGAGTATAAATGCACTACATAACATTTCCTGTTGAACTGAACAATTCCTCTTGTAAATTCCCATCCAATTTCTACAGAAAATGTTCATTTCAGTGTACCATAGGGTAGTTGCTTAATATAATGGTGTATGAATCAAGCAAATATGCTGAAGTATTTAATATATTGATGAGTGAAATATTTAATGAGCTTCAGATAAAGCTCCCTAAACACAAACAAAGTTTAAATGACCAACTTGAATGTCATTTCTATCATCTTATATGTGGAACACAGATACTGGTACTGAATTTAACTTCATGTTCTCTATCCAAAAGAATGAAAGAGAAGAAAGATTTCTAAATACCTGTTAATCTTCTCCATGTGTTCATCAAGTACAAACTCCTTTTCTTGATCAACTTTACTCTATTTAAAAAGCAAATACATATTTTACTTGGTTATTTTAGACTGAAAAGCTTATCAGCGCTGAAAAATTTCAATTACTTGTGTTACAGAAATATCATAGTATCATAAATGAACATTTAATATTCATAAGACACATTTTCAATGCATTACAATTTTGCAGTGTGTACAAATTAACTTGACACTTTATCTTGTGAATGTTGAAGGTGTTAGCTCATAATGCAGTGCTTGCTCTGAGCTACTATGTACGCATATTTGACTGGGTGGTTATCTTGTACACAAGTAATCATGATTATTCTGTCAATAGATTTCTATCAAATACACTAAGAAAGCCAGTGTGGATAATTCTACTCAAAAACCTGAGAGTGTTTTAAAAAAAAAAAAAAGTTTGGTTTTCTTAAAAAATATACAGGCATGTATGTATGTATTTTTTTAAAAAAGGACCTAAAAAATTGCATTTATCTTCCTTACCTTCTCTGTGTCATTTTACAAAATTTTATTTCGTCAACTAAAGAGTGCAAAAGATCTATTGGCCTTATGTGGAAAGGCTGTCAAATGTTTCGTATCCTCTGGCATTAAGGGGCTTAGGACAGAAGCAGATGTTTCAGTAAAAGCAGCTGAAGCTGAGAAAAGTTCCCTGCCATTTCAGCTCTCATAACTAAAAATACACAGCTTCCTTTTCCATTCAGTGTCATCTTGTAAAGCAGTACACTGTCACATATAATCACTCCTGTTTCACAGCTTTCTATTTTGTCAAAATAATCAGTACTACTATGTAAGTTAGCTTATCCTATTTATTTTTCTAATTAATTTTTATATATAAACTTAGTAATTCCAAACCAAAAATCACAAAGAGTAGAGACTCTGCTCATTTTAAAGCCAAACAACTGGGGAGTAATACTCAGATTGACTGAATACATCGAATCTTGATTTCACTCTAGAAGTTTCATTTCTTTTGAAATAAAAGTACAATGCACATCAAAACAGCTAAAATAGCAACTGAATAAACTGACTGTAAAGCCAAACCCTTTTATTTTCATGCCCATTGTTACATGGGGCTAATACAAATACTAATTAGGTATTATCAATACAGTTACATTCACCTCCAAAATCACAACAGAGAACTATGGGGTTTGTCCACTGGGAGAACAGCACCCTTCTCCCCCTGAAAATACTGCTTTAAAGAGCTCAGGTGCTTTCCCAACAACATACCTGCACTCTGATAATATTTATCCTATTGATAACCCCTGTGTTTACTCACAGTCTTTCAATTATCTCAAGGTTACAAAGATACAAAATGTTAGAAAAATTAAAGGAACAACTTGAGCCTTTAAAATCAGGTTTCAGATCTGGACTGCAGATGGTCTGCATCAAAATAATGCTAAAATTTACATCAAATGCATCAAGCTAGCAAAATATATCTTCAGGACAATAAAGAGAAAGTTTCTGGGATGGAAATATAACATCCACTTCCAAGTGAGTGATGTAGTGATTTAATAACTGGCGCTATATCTTCTGAAGCCTCTGGACTAGGCCAGTAGTTCTACCCTTGTTTCTCTTTGTCAGAATCCTTGAATTTCAGGCTAACTGCCCGGATTGCACTTGCCAACATGTACAACTCCCAGTCTGCTAATGGTTACTTATTTTGCCTTCTGCAAAGTGTGCTAGAAATGCAGCGATAACAGGGGAAAAATCAAGCAGCAATATATTTTCTGCATCCTCATGCTGCTGGCTGGAAACTTACATGCACACATAGAAAGAGAGCTAGCTGTTCACAACAGGAATTTGAGGGGTATCCAAAATGAATAAAAAATGAAAAAAATATTTAAAATTTTACTGCTGACCACTGTAGGCAATAGGGCTACAAACTAGTATTCTATAGAGTGCAAAGAATTTGGAAAGTCATTATTTTTTAACCATAAAACAAATGATCAGTATCATGGATAAGAAAGAATTTGTATTTACACATATTTAACAATTCTGCTTGATTTCAGTAACTGATCAGATTACCTTCACGTGGTAAGAGTTCAGTAAGTCTGCAATATTTTCTGTTGAAGGAGATTTCAGTGCTGTCAGGTCTTTCTCTAAGGCAGGTAGCTATTAAAAATAAGATTTAATTAAAAGTAACTAAACCAAAATGTACTACTTGGATTACGATGGCTGTGGTAATAGTACTATATAGTATATGTGTATGTAAACACAAACACCCCCCCAACATTCAGACAGATCTTAGAGAAGTACCAAGTAAACAATATAAGGAGCCAGAGTTCACTGCTCAGTGTTGAACCATCTGGATTTAATTATGTCTGCAGTGATAAGCAAAGATCTCTGCCTCCCAAGCACGGTGCTACAGCTGCAGCAGGTAAAGCCTGCCTGCACCAGTCTGAGAGGAAAGAGCAGGAGCCTGGCAACCATGCTAGGCTCAAAATAGTATCTATCCAGCTCTACAATGACTGCCATGGGTCTTTACACAGCAAAGGAAAGCAAGCAGTCATTTCTCTCTTATTTATGTCCATGCAAGTTACTGGAACATTATGACTCCGACTTTATCAAATATACTAATTTTTACACGTTCTTACAGCCACTGTAAGAAACAAATCTGTTAAGGAGACTGATAAAGAACACGTTAATGAGGTGTTACCTAGATTAAAAACTTTGCAGTTGTATAAATAATCTCTAATTTCAGACACTGTTGTCTAAACTGTACAATTTTTAAAGCAACTTCAGTTATCCTCAGTAAATCATGCCCTTCAACAGTAGAATCATGAAGACAGCAACATTTGCTCCCTCTTCCAAGCAAAGCTGTCACTAGCTGGCAAGTGTTACAATGACAGCTTGAGAGCACCTTACGTTCCCTGTTTGCAGTGTGTGGCCAGCTAATATAACTGCGCCTCTGCACACGCTCAAGTGGGTAAAAGTATATTAGTGTGCTACACAACTCAAACTTGTCACTATGGTTGTAGGCTGCACCCTTGCTAGCACTGGTTAGCAGCTTACCTTCTCGGATTCCACAAAATGTGTAGCGATGCCAGCTTTTAGTACATCTCTTCCTTTCAGCCTAAATCCTGTTAGTGCAAGGTAATAGCCAATCTTTCCAGATAGTCTTGGCAAGAAATACCCTCCACCTACATCAGGAAAAAGGCCTGTAATAAACAAACAGCAACAAAAATAAGTGAAGGGAGAAGAACTTGTCCTAATTGTGCATGTAGCTTAGTAGCTATTTCTTCTTGTCTTGCTTTGATCTCCCTGACTTAGGCCCAGCTTTCTTGTCCAAGTTTCTCCTTGACTTGGCTTGACATTTCTATATCATCAAAACACTTCCTAAAAGCAAACTCTTTGAACACTTTTCAAACTGTATCCTTTCCAATGGCACATCTTTTACAGATACGAGACAATAGTCTTCATTCTATTTGCCAACAACTTGAGACATTTTTAGATGCCTGAAGAACCAAGCATGCTTTCAGCAAAAAACAGAAGTGACACAAAGAATCGCGAAATAGTTTGTGCAAACTCAAACTGGATGCTGCTTTTACTCTGAAATCTTTTATTACAAGAAAAATATCTAACAGTGATGAAGTGCCTCTTGCACAGCTAAGCTTGAACAAATTTGGGGGCTGAGAATCATGAACAGATCAACAATATTGCCAGAGCCTTCCTGAAGGTGGAGGCACAAGATGCTGACCTAATGTGTGGCTTTTGACAGGACTATGACTAACTTGCAATTTAAAAAAATTCTAAAACTTTCCAGTTTAGTGACTGTTTTACATTCATATATTTTTTTTAAATCTAGAGTAAGGTAATTTTTAAATATTCAAGGCTTTTAAAATACTTTTAAAACTTGTAACTGAAAAGTATATAGCTACTTTTATAAAAGTTTAAATGTCTAAAATAATTTCTTTGTCAATATCTACCTTATTCTGTTATGTACATTAATCACCTACAAACTAAATTAAAACACTTTTTGTAACTGTTAACATATTTAAACTCAGCTGTATCAATCTCAGAAATCAAAATGGAAAGAAGCAGTGTCCAGTTACTCCTTCAAAATAATCACCAATGGTGCATTCATAAAACTGAAAGTCTTCTGAGGAAATTAAAGGTGTGGTGGTGTTTTTTTTCACTTTGAGAGAATGAGACATGAAAACAGATGAAAAAGAATGCAAATGAGTAATAAGAAACTCAGAAAATACTTGACAAAGCAGAGAGATAATGGGCAGATTAAGATGTACATAAGGAGTTTAAATGGGGTTCTGATAGAAGGTGGTAATTTTTCACTCACAAGTAATTGCTTTCAGTCACAGAAGAGTCTATGTACTATGGGAAGACCCTATTATGAGTATTTTAAGATGCGGGAAACTAGTGGTCTCTCAATATTCCTCCCCCTTGGATGGAATCAAGGGGAGGTTTCTTTCAGACAGCTTCCATTCAGTGTTTTCCTCTTCTCAATAATCTTTAAAGTTCATCACTGCCTTATGTTCTCACCCATCTCTCAGCTTCAGCTCTGGTTCTCCCTTGGTCCTCCCTTAGTTCTGCTGCCTCTCATACATAACAAGGTTGGTTTTAGGAGTCACATCCTATCAGTTACAGTTGTAGTATTCTATTCCCATTTCCACTGATGTGCGTGTTGCCATTAACTGATTTATTTATTCCTCATTCTGGAAGCTACTGAGTCATACAGCTCTTCTCCTGAAATGCTGAATATCCTGTTGGCACCCTTTAAAAGCCCTAAGCTGTATTAACCCCAATTCATCACTTACCTTCTTTGTCATCTGTACTCACATTCTGAATAGCCTACTCTGCATTTTACCTTCTCAGTTTATCCATAATGTTGATGCCAAGACTGTCATTTAGTTTTATGTTTCTATTCATCTGTCTCCCTTTGGATATCCTACTACTGCAAAAAAATCCCTCATTTCAAAATGAAACTTCTCTTACAAATGCCCTTCAAAGCAGAAAGACAATTACATTACTCTCCCCGCTCACCAGGACTGCAACAGCAACGACCTTTTCCTCTTTGCTGTAATTAAAATACAGATGCTAAAGTACTATTCTCCCCATGCTCCAGTAAATTTCCAGAGGAAAAGTCATGTTCCTATTGGGATCTATAGGGTCCTTCCACATGTCCATACACAGGGAAATCAGTTCTAAATAAACTGTGAAGTTGATTAGCTTAAGTTGCTTTAGAGGTAAATAAAACTAAACTGAACGGTTTCTTTAATTATTAAGGAATTTACAAACAGGATTGGTGACGATGTAACTATTCCACTTGAAACTTACTTGGCTGCATTAACATAGTCTGCTATAGCTTCTCCTGTATCCTTTCCAAGGTCCCTGTCTTCCTTTCTCCTTATTTTACTCCTCTTGTCCCTGTTCTACATATTCCTCTTAATTCTCTCAATAACGTTTCCCATGTGTTTTTGCTTGCTACTGGCTTTCTCTTAATGTATTCCATATACTTGATTTTTTTCTCCTTTTGATAGCATTTACCAATTATTTCTCAAATCCCTACTTAAATAAGAGAAGAACTGTAATGCTGACTTACAGTCTCTGCTCTGGAGACAGATGCAACACGCTTCACACTAATTCCAGTTTTGAAGCTCTGCAGTTGCCAAGCATAAAAAAGAAGTAGCACTACTAGATTCCTACCTTATCTTCCAGAGGTGGTTGGAGATTTATTCATTAATGACTTATAGAAAGTGAAAATTTAGAGGGATTTACAAGAAAGTGTCCACTATTATTATAACATCACCTTAAAGCCCACCTCTTACAATATAATTTCATCTTTTGTTCTTCCCACCAGTGGTTTTTCTACACCCTTCTACACGTAAGCTGCTTTCCAGTGCTTTATCTATGTCATTTTCAAACTCCTACGATCTAGAACTGTCTTTTCTTTCTATTTGCAAAGAGGTATATCTATCTATATCCCTTTATTTATGGTGGTGTATAAATGCAGAATAATTGTGTGGAAATACAGCAGCTGAATGAATACTTTGTTTTCATTTCACAGAAAAGGTGTAAAGCCCACTGAAATAAGTGAACATATGAAAAAAATCTATTAATATAGTATCTAGACAGCTAGACATTTTAAATATACACCACAGAGATCAAAAGAGCTAAGCCCTTAAATCTAAACAGATTTCAGTAGTTTTACTTCTAAATTACTCTAAAAGGGTTTTAATTATTTGCTTTCCTAAGCAAGTACTAAGCTTTTCCATGTCTTCACAGTCTACTTTTGTTTAAATAAGTCCTTGTCAACATAAGAAATACATGTAAATTACGCAATTTTTGTTAATATAAGACTACTCATATCTTAACCAAGAAGAAAGCAAAGAAGGTATTTTTATCATGAGACTAATTTTATATGCCAAAGAACCTCTCTGTTTAGTTTAAAAAAAAAAAAAAAAGTTCGTGAGTTTAGCAAATTCATGTTGTATTAATGCTTGAGATATTTAGTAAGTTTTCCTTCAGCAGAGAAAAATATTTGGAGGGATGCAGTAGTTTTTGTTTTTCTCGTCCCAAACTTATTTGTTCAGAAAAACTACGTGACATTTATCAGCTAGCAGGAATTGCTGATTTTTTTTCAGGAGTTAAAATGGTAATGAAGTTGCTTATATTTGGCGGGTTTATTATGTTTTATTTGATTTGACACTCACACCTCATTTAGTGTTTTAAGAATTTCAGAATAAGTCTCGTGAAATATTTCATACAGGCTGCACAGCAATAAACAATAGATTATACGTGTAAGACACCCTTTAAAAATATGAAAAATGCTAGACTTTTTAAGCATTACTAACAGGGGGCACTACAAAAATCCAGTCATTAGCTAAGAGTGCATTTTAGCCTTAGTTGTAATGACATTATTGTACTTAAAACATTCTCAACAAAAGCAGAATATTATAATTTATAATCTCTTTTCAGAACTGAGTCCTGATTTTTTTTACACTATTTCTTAGTTTTAACTTACGCAACTGTTCAGAAATTCTTTTAAGAAAATAATGGTCACTATACCTTACAACTAATTCTTTGAGGTGAAACTTAAGACTAAACCTAATAGCATCATGTCTGGTGCCATTTAAGCTGTTTAATCACCAGATAAGGTTCTCTAGTGTGAATAAATGTGTTCAAGGAGCCTCATTCTCCTGCTTGAGGACATAAAGATAAGAACAATTGCAATCATCCTTCAGCTGCCTTGCCTCGGAAAGATGTAGAAACTAGAAATTTTGCAGGAGAAATGCAGGATAGGTTATAGGTTTTGAGCACTCTTCATAAACACTGTTGATATGCACGGAGAAGGGACTTGGGACATGGATGAAAGCATTAATGGAGTATATATGCCAGACAATAATAGGTTCAGTGTGGACACTCCATTGGTGGCAGGATTGTCTTGAAGGGAAACATGAATAATTTCATAGGAGGGTTCACTTTAATCTGACTGACTCTTCTTAAGCCATACCACCATCTTCATATCGCTCTGAGACACAACATTTTCTTCTCTACATCTCAGAGCTGACAAAGAGGCTGTAGGATCAAACATTAGAAAACACAAGGTACAAGTTGCTATTAAAAAAAAAAAAAAAAGATGATGACACTATGATCTCACTTGCACACAATCTGTACACAACCGTGATGAGTCTACATTAATAGTCTACAAGAAAAGCTGGAATTTCAAAATCTGTCTCATTAACATTGCAGATCAGCTTGTAGTACAGCCAATTTGACTCATACTGAGATTCAAATGTAAAGCTGACATACTTGCACGGGGATCTTCAGACTTTATCTGCCTACGTCTGTAGCAAAGACTTAGTTCCTCAGATCTACTTCCATGTTTAAAAAATTGTACCCTGGCAGTCTTTGTGTCAGTCTAGACAATAAACCCCAGGTTAAGAAACAAAATGATCAACCTCATAGAATACAAATTTCTGTTAATTTAATAGAAAATACTTTCCATATATGGTCATCTCCAATTCCTTTTCAAAATTCTTTCATTACTGCCACTGCTTTCAGTCAAAGACATTTCACTCCGATTACACAAACAGTGAAACTTTAAACACCTTAACACATATGTTTGCATAATGTAATGTAAACATGTGATAATCTGTTAGTATACTTACCTATTGCTGTTTCTGGCATTGCGAAAAGTGTCTTTTCCGTAGCAACTCGGAAATGTCCATGGACTGAGAGGCCAACTCCCTATGCATGAAGCACAAGCAAAAGACACAGTTATAAAACTATTGGCAAAAATAATCATAATCATAACGCTATGTAACATACCTCTTGCTTTGCTCTACAATTAAATAATATTAGATTTACCATGCACGTCTCAACAAAACATTAAAAGGCCTCTTATGGTTCAAACACTAATAAAGGATCGTATTACCTTTAAGATTTGGCTGAAATAGCATTTTATTCTTTAAAAGATTGATGAGTCATACAGAGATTAACTGCAAAACCCCATAAACAACAGCAACAGAAATGAGTGACCCCTTTTTCTCCATCAGACGAGTAAAGGAGTTGACATCCTTTTACTAATGGCATCTGTAATTTTTGCACATACTTCAAACCACCAACAAAAAATACTCCAATACTTCTGGAATTTAGATGAATTGCACAAAGTTGTAATTATAATACTTTTAAAAGAAATAATAATTAATTACTCTTATAATGTGATAATTACCTAATCAATACAGAGAAGTATTTTAAGCAGGAAAGCTTTCAGCATTATTGATTAAAATTCTAAGTATGTGGTTAGAAACTCACTTATTTAACCTGGGGACTTTTGTTCTCCAAATCATAAATTAAATTCATATTTCTAAGTATCTAGCCCTCTTCTCTAGCAGTCCTTCCTGATGAGACACTTCCCTCAAGAGCAGAAGAGCTCCTGGTGTGGTCTATCACATATTTTCTGACTTAGGCAATGAGCAGCAGCAAGGCTCAGTAAAAATATATATTTTCAGTTCACACAAAATTAATTTGATTTAGATAAATGTTCAAGAGGCAAACTGACAAATTTAAAGAAAAATGATTATCTGACCAAGTTACTATTATTTAGTTATAATATTTTTTGGCACAACCACAATATATGGGTAAAGGAGTCTCACGTCTCAAAGCTGACCTACATGATACATGTTAATAGAAATGTGATAGATTCTACCTGGAGACAAAACCCTCTACTGAATATTTCACAAGAAGTTTCTTAGTAAAAATATTTTCTCTCTCATCCTCTCCACTGTTTCAGCTTACTTACTTTCCTCACCACTAAATTTCCCTTTGCTTAGTACTTTTATCCATTCAATTTTTCTATTAAATTAAGGTATCTTAAATATCATTGGCCAAAAGGAGTCAGTGTCTAATGAAGGTGTAGTAGATTTTTAAGCAACATTTCTAATTGTTTAGATAATAGAAAAATGGCACTTTAGCCAACTAAGGCTACTAGTCTTCAACAAATGTCTTAAAAATATTTCATATTTTCCATCAAATCCAGTGGGATTAATTGGGTGATACTTGCTTGGACCAGTATTATATATTTAATAGGCTTTTAAGGAGAAAGTAGAACATAATAGAACATCTTTTCATTTCACTTATCTACAGAGATCTTTGGGTGGGTTTTACATTAAAATTTTTAAAAGTTATCTCAATTTAATAAAAATTACATCCATTTCCTCACACCATTCTCAGGCATTCTTCCCTGCACTCTCTTACAGCTCTGCTCAGCAAGAAATTAATTGTCACTGCTTATTCCATTAGGATGATACATGACTAAAATTGAAAATATCTTCAAGTTTTTTCTGTAAAATTAATAACTGCCAGTCTTGAGTTTTAATATAGGTATATGAAGTTTATAAGATTCCAGTCTAATTTCCTGAGAAATGGACACGTAAGGTAACTGGATATCACACTTGATTTTATATCCAGAGACTAAGCCAAATCTATACGCATTCAGTATTGCTGTTTCAAGGAGGCAAATAGGATTTGAGCAAATACGTGAATCTGATTTGCACGGGGTACAATCTTATGTCTCATCCCTTATCTGTCCTTCAGCCCTTTCACCTGAGGACTGGTCAGAGGCTGTAGATCTCATCTGAGCAGCAGCAAGGGCAATGGCCCTGTATTTAGTTCTTTTGCAAATGCAAACAGCTCTAGAACTCTTAAATGGAAATGTGACTTCATCACTTCCAACTTTTTTTTACATCATAACAGCATATTTTCACTGCATTTGGTTAGGCCTGCTGTTATTTTTATGCATGTTCAGCAATAATGACAACCCTTTCATAAAGATAACTAAATCTAAAAAAAAAAAAGCCCATTTTGCTCTTTCTAATGCCTAAATTAATTTTTTCTAATTCCATATCTAAGAATACAAATACTATCTATCATAAAGCATTTTTTTTCTGGCTTATCTTCTAGACAATCAGAAGTTTGTATACAGACTCAAATTTTCAGCTTGAATATTAAGAAGCAAAGACTAGAGTGTGAGCTCCATGAAGAGAGCTTCTCTTCCAACCTTGTTCTTTTTTATAGTGATAAAAATAGCTGTACAGTTTTAAAAATAAAAAGTTTAAAGAGGTAGTTTTCCTTTGAAAGAAATAATTAAATCAGATTTCACTTTCTCAAGCGCTTAAGCCATAATTGGATTTCTCTTCTAGATAGCCTTCAACTTCTATAGTATAGATAAAAGCTTAATTTCTGATGTATATTTAAAAGACTAAAACTGTATTTTCTTCTTATCCATTACAAAGAAAATGGTGCAAATATGTCCTTACTTCTATGAAGACAATTGCTAAATAATCCAATATTAAGATAAAATCAGGAGAGAAAAACGAGTTAATGCTTTGAGTGCACGGACCCCAGTAATTTATTAGACTGGTGATCATATGCTTTTGTAAGTTTATTTGCAACTTCCCAACTGGTTCTTTTAACACATTCACTGTATGTGTTTAACCTTCTCCATCTAATACAGAGGACAGACGCTTATTAGTTTAATAGTATCCTGTGTAAAGAACAAACTCTTCCAGTCAGAAGTCTAAATGCATTCCTCCTCTATTTCTGAATTAGTTTGTTTGGTTGGTTTTTAATTTAACTGAAACCTTACAGAGCTAGAGTCCCACCTAGGAGGCCCTCCACATTATTAAAATATCTGCAGCTGGGCTTTGTTCATTTCACCAAACAGTCCCAGCATTTACATGTACTAGTCTTAATGCTATAATGTCTTTATTAAAATACACTATATCCTGCCGTGTCAGAGTCCTGTCTTTCATGATCTTAAAATATATACTAAAGCTAATGTCTTCCTTCAGACTGTTCCAAGATAATAGATTGCTATGGTGGATCAGGCTTGGCTTTTAATCCAGATAGTTCAATCCAGTTTTAATCCAGCCTTAATACTGGTGTGAAACTTTTTTTGACTGACAGCTGAATGTTTGAATTTTGTAAAGGATACTTAAAGAATGAGGCTAGAAATTAAGGAGCTAAGAAATCAACAAGCAATCAATTTAAACAATCTTTCTGTAGGGTTTATATATGAATTAATCAAAAACACAGAAAAGAGCAGAAATTGTGGTCTGACTGTATTACTGGAGATCAATTAGTTGTGAAGGTGTTTGGTTACAAATTACAGATTTATTAGTATATGGATATTACCACATTAATCTTAAAAACAGTGTGTTACAAGTCGACTATAAGACTCAGCACTCCTCAAGGAGGCACATAAAATTATAGGCAGTTCAGTCTGAATTCCACAGCAAGGTTCTGAAAAAGCCAAGGATATCTGAATTTTACTTCCCATACACATGATTTACTACTCAGTGCCATGTTTCAAAAATCATTATGTGACTATGTATAGAAAATTTATCATCGATTTCCATTTTTTTTCTCACGATGAATACAGAACCTTATTAAAAGTATTTTTCTAATGAAAAACAAGGTGTAAATTACTGATAGATGGAGAAATGGAATACTATAAATTAGCTACTATAAATCTTAAAAGTTAAGTTGTAGCCCAAAGGCAGCATAATCTTAAATTGTGAATGACCCATATTAGTAAATCAGAGAACTCACCACATCTAGGGAAATTATTAAGAAATTGAGGGCCATCACAACAGAAAACCATACAGAGCAAAATAAATATGCCCTTCCTGAATGACATATGTAAACATCTGTTCATATACTGAAAGGTGTATCTGTGTCACAGCAAAACCATAAATCACACTTGTCTATTTACTAAATAACCTAACTCCCACTGTGAAGGAATCACTGCCTAGTAAAGCACAAGCAACAGAATAAAAGAAATACAGAGTGAAGAATTTTTAGCTGTTCAGGCAAATAATTTTATGATAATACTAATATTAATATTGTCTGCAATGGAAGCCCTGTTATAACAGTTCACATCCAGTGATTATACTCATTTTTAAGTGCATGAGAATACAGTTCCTGGGAGGGCTAGAGCCACAAAAGAAATGTGGCAATCAACAAACAAACTCAGCGTAACACAACAAAGGACAAGTATACCTGAATACAGACGTGTAAAAACAGCCAAGGTGCAGCAAAAATGTTTTCAAGAGCATTAATTGGCAAAGCAAGCTAGTGGAATTGATTCAGGAAGAAGCAGGAGCTTATAGCTGTGTTAGATCAAAAATTAGTGATGTAAGAGCATTATCCCAGCATGAGACACAGAAAATCTTAAACTGAATCAAAATTAAGCTTTGTTCATCATTAATGTTATAGACCATTCCAAAGACTATAATCCATTTTTATCTGTAGATACTGACAGACAAGATGACTTAGTGAACCAGAGCATAACAGATCAATCTGGACTAAGAATATCACCTTATTTGGTTGATGACATATAAACCAACTCTATACAAGTATTTAAAAAATATCGTTAAAACCCAGTGCTTTTTGTGAACTTTCCAATCATTTATTTTCAAACATGAAATATTAATGGTATTTTCAAACATAAAATATTAATGTAATATGATTTACATGGAAAATATTAATTTACATGTACTGATTGTGTATTCGAGATTGTCAGTCCAAAATCCTACAGACATATAGAAGCACAATAAACTGACTGGAGATAGATTATCTGTAATAGTATCTGATGTTTCAGTCTTGTCCTTCCCCCCTATTTATTGAAACGAATTCGATCTAACTACATTAATAGTAATCATTCAGGTCAGGTTCTTCTTACAGTG